TAAAACTAACCCATGACTCTTGGCTTACACTTGAATCCACAGCCTGCTTCTTGTCAGCTCTGCGGTGACGATGGGCGGCATCGCAATTTGGTGTATGGTACGTACGTCTCTTGCCCTCAACAGCTCGCCACGTCTAACACGTCTTCAGCATTTCATCGGAAATAGAGCCATAGACTTGGCTAATGGAGAACCGGAGTTGCAAATTGCATATTCGAGCGGCTTCACAGCCTTGTCTTTCTTCGTCCCTATTGCCGTACTTCTCGCTGCCTTTGTTGCCGTCGGTATCAACAATACCGTTTCTTGGTGGCGAGTCTGCATCGGAGGTGTTTTGGCCGGTGCTGCAATCTGCGGAATGCATTATCTCGGAAACAACTCCATCGACAACTACATCTGCATTTATAATCCGATCAATGTTGTCGGTGCGGCACTCATCGCGGTCGCTGCTAGCATGGTGGCTCTCGCCCTCTTCTTCGTCTTCCGCGCAGCCTGGACAACATGTTGGTGGAAACGAGCTGCTTGCTCTGTCGTCTTGGCCGGCGCAGTCTCTGGAATGCATTGGTGTGCCGCCACAGGTACCGAGTATCAACTCGTTCGTCTCAACGTTGGAAGCAACGAATTATCCCGTAACACAACCGTGATTGTTGTCATTTGTTTGGTAAGACGATGTCTTGCGTCTCCTCTTTGACAATGAGACTGAATCGCTGACTACTTGCCTAGTCCATCGGCGCCTGCTTCGTCATGGGCGGGACAGCAATTTACACTGCCCGTATCATGAGGCGCTATGCCAGCAAAGCTCAGCAGGTCGTCCTCGCAGCTGCGGTCTTCGACAAGCACAACCGCATCCTCGTCAACCCAGATGGCCTGATCCCTACCGAGAAGATCACCGACACGTTCCTGGAGAAAAATGCCAGCGATAACTTCAGCATCGCCCACCCCTTATTCTTGTGGATGTTTCAAGCATCGCGGAATTGGTCTGGCATCTCGACCCTTATAGGGGGAATGACAAACCATCTTGCCTACCTTCCAAGACGTGGCCGCGACCGTGACTCCCGTGCCGGTATTCAACTGATCAACGAGCACGGCGAGCTGATTGACAATTACGACGTTATTTTCCGCGAGCTCTTTTGTGTCGCGGCTGCCGGCCTTGCCGAGAAGATGAAGGAACATCTGACATCTGTTGGACTCTTGTGGGACGAGATCTTACCAACGGGCGCGAGCGGGGAACGCCCGGGACATGAGACGAGCAGCCAGCAAGACGTCGACACCATTCTGAGACCCGACGGTTCGCTAAGGAAGGTCGAGGCTACGAGCAACAGTGACGACCTTGCGGAAAAAGGCATTGGCCGCCGCAAGGCTCACGAATTCGGGCGGGGCTCTCTTATGTTCTTGGTGCGTCGAGTGCAGACTGACCGAGAGATTGAGAGACTCGAGGCTGCCGGCTACCGCTTCGCAGAGCTCCGCCAAGTGAGCAACATCATCGCGTCCAGCATGCAGATCCAGTCGAGAGACCTGGCGACGAAGCTGCAGAACATGGTTTCGTACGTCAACGACAACAACCAGCTTGAGCCTGGCGTACACGTGGGCTTCTTTGGCATTCGCGCTCGAGTAGGTAGTTATGGGTTCGACGTTGCTGTTCGCAAGGGGGCCCGGCACCTCCTACCCAGCGTGCAAATGCCCATCGACCGAGTCGAGCCCTGGCATCTGGACTTTCTCCATCAGCTCGACCGGCTGACCACGCTCGGAGTGAGTAGAAGGATTGCTTCCATGAGCAACCTATGCACACGAGAGACGCTCTTTGCAACACAGCTGACTGAGAGTATCGACGCATTGAGAACTTGGATCGACGACCCGATCTTCAATGAAGCCATCCTCACCAGTACCGTCGTGACTCTACCGGCGGACAAAGGCTCGGCCTTACAACCGACAAGCTTGATCGCGTTCCGCCTGGTTATCCCGATTCACGTCATATTTTCCAGCCCCAAGTGCGACTTCGTTCCGCTGAACTTTTTCAAGGTCCATCAGCTTGTGGGTCGAGATGCATCGCGGCATCTCGCCTTTACCCAGTCGGTGCATCGTGAGCTGGCGCCGGTAGTCCAGTCAGTGCCGCTTGAAAAGCCTAGCCCAGCCATGACCAGAGACGGGAAGTCTCGCTTCTCGTCACGTCTTCGTAATCTTGGACGCTTCGCCCTGTCGCGCCCTGTCGACTCGGAAGGGAATCCAATTTCCACAGCTCTCGGACGCTCTTCATCGAGGACGAATTCGAATGCATCAAGCTCGACCCTCAAACTCTGGACAGGCCGACGGGACAGCGATCCCATGTCACCAGGCACTTCGAGCTTCGATGGACCGCCTCCCACATATTCGAACAACGAGGCAGCCAACCAGTCTTCACCGTTTGGGGGCATCATGGTGTCAGAAGAGATTCGTGTCGAGATCCACAAAGCCGACGAAATGGCTCACTCGGGATCTCACGATGTGGGTGTATCTAACCGAAGAACACCAACGATGCTGGGCAGAAGGGCCAGCGACAGCCCCGGAAACATAGCCGGCAGCATTGGCTGTGACCAGACGGCGGCTGTGAACGATGACTGTCGCGGTCCCAGTGCGAGCGGCAGTGCCATTGAGATGCGAACGCTACAGGTGGCCGAGGTGAGAACCAACGTCCATGCTGGTAGCGGCATGCAGAGTTCGAACGTAGAGTCGGAAAGAGTAAACGATGTACCGACGTTTGTTGACGAGCTCTTCACCATCGCCATTGAGAGTCGATGATTGTTTTGGGAAAGCAAAGAAGGTCATTGGCGTTTTCGGGGAAGCAGTCGGAGTTATTTGTGCTAGGTGTTTTGAACGAAGGCAGGCAGCATGGCTAGATACCCGGGGTTTGAACCAGTGTAGAAGTAGGCGAGTAACGAATGCTATTACCATTAATTCATGAAGAGCTATTAGTTGCATTCAGATGACGAGATAATGGTGTGTCTGGTTTAAGGTACTTCAGCAACCTGCCACCACAGGTCGGTATCTGAGATGGCTGTTCATTCTAGAGCGCCTACAGTGTACCTTACCTTAGGTAGCGCAACTCATTAGTACCTAAAGTGGGACCGGGCATGAGAAGACCCGGCCGGGGAGAAAAGGGGCCTGCTCACCTGTCACCTCTTGAAGTGGAGGACCTGGAAGCCGGACATTCCATTGGTAAGGTACCTTAGCACGCTTAGGTAGGCTTCTTCATTCATGGAAGGCACTTGGATCCGTGTATTCTCGACCACCTTCCACACCTAAATTCTTCCAACGAGAGTACTAAGGCAAATCGGGATACCAAGGGCGGAAGAAGGAGCTCTGGATATTAATTGCCCAATATCAACAGTTATTTTGTTGTCAGTGCCCTTTTGGCATCTTGTAGAGTAGAAACTTTGAACCTTTTACCAACCTGGAAGGTATTTAATGTGGTGTGCTGTCACTGTAATTCATTGGCCCTGTCACTAAGAGTGCTGAGGCACCAGTAATAAGGTACTCCATGCCTTCAATGCTTTCCATCCATGAGGTAAGTTTGTAGGGCAAGGAAAGGTAGGTAGTACCTAGTGTATACAGCGGATGCCTCTTTTTTTTTTTTTTTTTTTTTTCCTTCTTCGTTCGGGTGGATTGTGGAGAGACCTGGGCATTCGAAGTGTGCCAAACTGCACCAAACTGCACCAATCTGCAGACCCTACCTACCTACGGTAGGGTAGGTAGGTAAGGTATCCATCCATACGTACCTTACCTTACACAATAAGGTAGTAGGGTACTGCGTACTCCATACAGCCAGTACTACACTACCTTCCTTACCTTCCTCCGCACCACCTCCCGTCCTGCAGAATCAGATCTACCCTACCTCACCACCCGACTTCCCGTCCGTCGTCTTGTCTTATCCGAATCAGCAATTGCCTTCACTGCACTGCCTGGACAGGACATTGTGTGGTGGTCGATGTGGACTCCAATGCTTTCCACTCTTACCCTTGCCTGACCTTCCCCGGCACTGAACTGACGACCTCAATCGTCTTGCATCCGCTTTTTGTTGTGCTGCGCCGCCGCGTCGTTCCTTAACTCGCCTCACCTGGCCGTCCCACGAGGCATTCCGAGCCACACACCCACCATCGGACTCCAACTCGTACCTCATCTTCACCACCACGTCACCTTCACTCTTGCCCATATCAATTTCTCCCATCGTCATCCTGTCGCCTTTATTCCCATTTTACTTCCCCCTCTTCTTTTCCCTCCTCCCCTCCCCTACTACCAGCCCGCCTCCGACTTGAACACGAATCATGAATGGGGACCTCAGTCTATCGAGGGCCCTCGGGGGACTACGAATAGCCAATCCAGATGACGCCGATGCCTCTCCAAGCGATTCACAAGATGCCGAGACCCCATCATCGACCGACCGGCATTCAGACCATGACATTCAACGCCAGCAACAGTATCAACTTGATGCTCATACCCGTCTAGCGCCCCTCGACGACCCGATCATACAGCCATCTCCGAGTCCCATTGGATCTACTCCCACCTCAGACAACTTGTTGTCTCCCATATCCCACACACAATCCTCCGAGGCACCGTCACCCGCCTATGATGGCTCACCGAGCCATGCCGAACCCCGCCGAACGAGCCCCAGCGCCGCAATGCGGGCAGACGTCTACAGACAGCCCGTCTCCCCATACTCCGAACTCGACAGAGCTCCAGGGAACCGATCTTCCGTGTCGCCAACAGCGCGGCCTGTCTCTGCACTATATAGCCACCAACCTATGGCAACTGAAGTAGGACATCCGCTTCATCAACCACAAGGTCAAAGCGATCGGGCGCGGCATTCTGCCTACGGATTGCTCGCCAGGCAAGATTCGAACCACGCTCAGGGCTATCCAGGCAGCTCAACACCAACGAGGGAGCCGAGCTACAGGGCGCCGGCCAATCCAACCCGCCAATCCCAGTTGCCTCCTGGCTCCGGATCTTTGCCCCCACGGAGGAGCTCGAAAGGCATGGGCGGTGGATATGTTTCGGCAACAGCAGCGCCAGGAGGCCCCCAAGATCTCTATGGCCCAGAGGCACCGCTACCAACCAGTAGCGAAGAGTGGAAGGACCGCGGTGCCGCTGTAGGCGTGCGCAGAGAAACAGACTCGAATGGCAAGACCGTCATCCGACATGTCAAGAAGGGAGTTAGAGACTTCGCCTTTGGACGCGTGCTCGGAGAGGGCTCATACAGCACGGTCTATTTAGCTACTGATCGACAAACTCTTAAGGAGTACGCCATCAAAGTCCTCGAGAAGAAGCATATCATCAAAGAGAAGAAGATCAAGTACGTCAACATTGAGAAGAATACCCTAAACCGCCTCACCGAGCATCCTGGAATCGTACGCCTTTATTATACGTTCCAGGACGAAATGTCTCTATACTACGTTCTTGACCTTTGCAACGGCGGCGAACTTCTCGGAGTACTGAAAAAGACGGGCTCTTTTGATCTGGAGTGTACGAGGTTCTACAGCGCCCAAATACTAGACGCCATCGACTACATGCATTCGAGAGGAGTCATCCACCGCGATCTCAAGCCCGAGAATGTCCTCTTGGACGACCACATGCATGTGAAGATCACAGATTTTGGCACAGCCAAGCTACTCAAAGACCCGAGAGAGGCGCAGAATGTCAGTGAAAGCGCACGGGGACTGCCAGAGAGTGGTCGGAGCGAGGCAGACGACGACAATCGGGCGGCTTCATTCGTGGGTACCGCCGAGTATGTCAGCCCCGAACTCCTGACCAGCAAGAACGCATGCAAAGCGAGCGATCTGTGGGCTTTCGGATGCATAGTATACCAGCTGTTAGCAGGGCGTCCACCTTTCAAGGCCGCAACGGAATATCTCACGTTTCAGAAGATTGTCAACTTGGAGTACGACTTCCCTGCCGCCTTTCCACCAACAGCTCGTGATTTAGTGGAGCGATGCTTGGTCCTTGACCCAGCCCGTCGTCTCACCGTTGAGCACATCAAAAACCACGAGTTCTTTGACGGACAACCATTTGGCAAAGGCCTATGGAGAACCAAAGCCCCACGGCTTCGACCTTACAATCCCACACCACAGGATCCGACTGTCATTCAACTTAATGGCGTGAGCAACAGTCCAAACGCTGCTGCACCACCTAGGAGCTCCCAGCCGCAAAGTTCGGCCCTGAATGGCAGCGCTCGACCAGCCAGAATCATCACAGAGCTTCCTCCTCCAACCCAGCTGGATATCGAGTGGTCCCCAGTCTTGACGAAGAACAACGAGAGGATTCTTAAACTGGGCGACTTGATGGTCGTCTCGAGCCCCTTGCCGAGCGGCCATGGGAAAGGTGGCGAGCACGCCGAGGGACACAAGAAGCTATCGAGGTTCTTTGGCGGAAGTACGACCAAGAAGAGACAGAGGCTGGTAATGGTAACTTCGAGCGGTCGCATACTGCTGGCACCGGCTGGCGGAGAAGAAAAGCGCGCCAAGCAAGAGATTTCACTGCTTGCGCCCGAATGCACGTGGAGGACGCAGCTTGACGTAAAGGGGCAGACTGTATGGTGTGTCGATGCGGTAAGTATCCTGGACAAGAAGTCTCGCCGCTCATCTAAAATCCGACAGGGCGGCGTCCACTACACATTTGAGGAGCCCAAGGGGAGTTCCAGCTCTTCAGAGAACGGCACCACGGCCAGCGACTGGATAGAGTCCCTGGAGAGAGCCAAGGAATTGGCCTTGTCTCAAAATCTCTCTGGCTCTTATGCTGGCGACAACGGTTTCGATATGTCATCCACAGTGTCGAGCCCTGCTAGCACTCTTGGTGGACGCGGCGTTTACCCTGATAGCTTCAGTGTCAGCGACCGATCCGGTCGAAACCATCTCAGCAAAAGCCAGGCCAGTCTGGACGATTCAGCTTCTACTACCAAGCGAAACCGTTTCAGCAAAAGACAGTCCAAGAATGGTCTTGGCCAACAATTCTAATCAGTATGAGGCTTACGACGACTGGAGCCATAGAATCTTCACGGGTTTCAGGGAGGTTCGGTAGTTGAGGTGAGAATCGCGGCTCTCAGGCAGAGAGCCAGCAAGAGAAACTTATAGAAGTTTGTAATGCAACGAAACATGGTTCGGGAGGAAGCATTCGGGAGCGTGGCGTATCATCGGCTATGCACTCTTCGACAACTTGACCGCTTTTGCAGGGAAGTCCTTCAGCTTCCCACTCGATGGAAGCATTCACGAGGTGGGGATGGAGTTTTTCGCTGATTCGCCACGGAGGTTTTAGGGGTTTAATATGTCCTCGGAGAAAATAAACCCACGAGCTTTGAAAACCATGGCCATGTGTGTGCTCCTATCTATATCTAACGATCTTCTGGAAACGGAGCGGATACTTGCTGCCCTTGCGCAGGTGGACTCGGGAAACCGTATGTACGCATAACGTTGGTAGATGAAATAAGGTGCCTGCCTACCTGATGTGAAGCCACATTCGAGGAGAAGAGAGCAGTGTTGGTATACATGTCTGTGGCTTGTAAGTGAAAAGGTACCGGGAGGTGACTGTTCTCGTTAATTGAATACAATTATCTCTATTGTAGTTGTCTTTTGCACTCGGGCATTATGGACAGGTGGTGAGGTACAGCATGTTAGTACTAGATGTGACTCCTGTCTGCTAAGGCAGAGTGGCTCGGATGCTCTCAGTTAATGTGGAACCTGTACAGGGGCTGCTGCATCAACTGGCCAATTGTGGCCGGCATAGGTGCTGCCTTGCGCCAGACCCTGCGCCTTCGCCGCCCGTCGTTCACTCATGCACACGCGCGTTTGAGAAACGACGCGACCTCTCACATTTGGCACATTTGGCAGTGTCATCTTTGATTTTCGATCCTCAGTGGGAAAAAGATCTGGTTGTTTTCTTTTGCTTTGCGCGCATCTTTTCAAAAGTCATCGTCAAAAATGCAGCCCCAGTACCGCCAATACGCCGCCCATGCTGGCGCGCCGCAGGTTCCCCAGCGGGCTCCACATGCCCCAAATCAACGGAGAGGCGGCATCGGTATGCCCGTTCCTTCTTTGCCTTAGCCTTTTGAGACCTCGGACACCTTTTCCCCTTGCTCTACTGTTGCGCGACAAGTCCAAAAGTGCTAAACACGACGACAATTGTGCTAACGATGCCGCCCAAAGGTCCCATCATGCCTCCGAGCCACCATGCTCAAGCAGCCATGAACCAGGCCGCCATGGCGCAGCACCATCCTCCGGGCCAGGCCCTTACGAGCGAGCTTGCCAAGCGTCGCAGCCGAAAGCCGACCGACAAGACATTGCCTGACGGTGTCGAGGAATGCATCACGGACACCGAGGTCGCTCAGAGATACAAGGATTTGCGCGATTTTGAGCGACGTCTGGACGCAGCCATGACGCGCAAGCGACTCGACATTGTCGAGACAGTTGGACGAAACGCAAAGGTTAGTCACTATCCGCGATGCGACTCGACTGGGAGCCATTATTTCCCCTTCCGGCCTCACGCGACAGCAGAGCTAAGTCTCGCATTGTAGCACTACAGAACCCTTCGCATCTGGATCAGCAACACAGTCGAGGACCAGGCTTGGCAAGGAAGTGGCCTCAGCGTTGATAGCTTCGACTTCACCCCCAGCGCCGAGCCTTCTTACAGGGTTAAGATTGAGGGACGACTACTTGAGGACGGGTCGGACGACGCGTCAGGAGAGACTGACCAGAAGACGGATTCTGCACAAGACGGAGGCGAGACTGGGTCAAGGAGACAAAGTTCTGCGCCCGTGAGCCAGAAACATCGGCTTTCCCATTTCTTCAAAGCGCTCAACGTCGATTTTGACCGAACTCGCTCGAGAGCCGCATCCGATCAGACCGTGGAGTGGAAGAAACCTGCTTCTCAAGGCGCAGCGGCAAGTGCAGACTTCGACGAGTTCACCTTCAAGCGGAGCGGGGACGAGAACATGAACATCACCATCAACCTCCATCGCCAGGAGGATCCGGAGCGATATCTTCTCAGCCCCGAGCTGGCCGATGTTGTGGACATGACCGAGGCTTCCCGTCAAGAGGTCGTCCTCGCAATTTGGGAATACATCAAAATGATGGGCCTCCAAGAAGACGAGGAGAAGCGCAACTTCCGTTGCGATGAGCTTCTTAAAAAGGTTCGTTGTAACCTCACCCAGGAACGATGTTTGGCTTCTAACCGATCGTCTAGATTGTCAACGGCAGCGATACTGGAATCATTCCTAACCTGAACGATTACATTCAGCCGCACCTCCAACCTCTGCCACCAGTCAGCTTACCATATACCGTACGAGTTGACGAGGATTTCCACAGAGACGCCAAGCCCACCATCTACGATGTGCGTGTGGCGGTAGATGACCCCTTGCGAGCCCAGCTGGTACCTTTTGTTACCACTCCTGCGTATGCAAGCGCCCTTAAGGAGGTTGTTGGTATGGATGAACAGCTAGCAACGCTTATCTCGGCCGTCGCGAGCTCTAAGGCGAAGCACTCGTTCTTCACATCAATGAGCCAAGACCCCACCAACTTTGTGAGGAATTGGATGAGTTCGCAGAAGCGGGATCTGGAAATCATCATGGGCGAAGCGACCAGGGGAGGCGGCGAGGATGCCACGGGCGACGACTGGCGACGAGGTGGCAGGGATAGCGTTTGGACGACATCCAACGCGCGCGAAAGCGTCAGTGTCATGTTGGCCAAGCAAGCCCCGCAAGCGTCTAGGTGATGCGATCAATCGGATGAGTTGCGCGTGTTGGATTATTCTCATTTGTGCGAGGGGTTCCCACCCCCCTTAACGAACTCGGGCTGAAAAAGAGGGGCGTCAAGGGTTGAGGCTGGCTTGTGATGATGCGCGATATCATACTGTATTGTTTTCAAAGTGTAATGGATTGCCGGCCTAGTGGAAATTGACGAACGAACATTGACTAGGTCTACTGAACTTCGAATGCCGTCCGCGTGCGTGACATCAATGGAGGGGCCCAGCGGCGATTGTGCTAAAGTCCGAGGCGGAGGTTTCCCCGCACACGATGCCTGCCGGCCCCGTGGCGGCGTCCGACGGCCAACGTGATGTATATATATCACAGTGACTTAGGAGACGCCTGAGCTTTGCGAACGACTTGTGAGTGGATAAATACGTTTGTCTACATTCCACGTATTCACAACAATTAAACAATGGCATCCATCTTCGTCCCTGGCAACACGGCCGTCATCACGGGCGGTGCATCTGGCATTGGATTGGCAATTGCCAAGAAGTGCGTCGGTCATGAAATGAAGGTCATCGTAGTTGATCGCGATACGAAGCTTCTTCAGGCGGCAAAAGAAGCCCTTGGAGGGTCCTCCGCCACATTCGAGCTGGACGTGAGCCTCCTCCAAGATTGGGAAAAGCTCAAGACGGAAGTGAATACTTCCAATGGAGGTGCGCTCCACCTTTCCTCCGTCTCCCTTGTCTCCATCTTTACAACGCCTCATGAGGTCCTCCGTTTCACATGCTAATTGTTACTCTAGGACGTATTGATTTATTGGTTCTCAACGCCGGCATCGGTCCCAAGTCATCATGGCTGGACACAGACAGCTTTCGTAGAATCTTGGATACCAACTTATACGGCGTTATCAACGGGATCAGTAGTCTGCTACCCCTCGTTGGCAGTGGACAGTCTTCCAAGTCGGCCATTGTCATCACGGGCTCCAAGCAAGGTATTACGAATCCACCAGGGAACCCAGCCTACAATGCCAGCAAGGCGGCTGTCAAGTCTCTGGCAGAGCACCTATCGTTCGACTTGAAGAATACGGCCACATCTGTGCACCTCCTAGTGCCGGGCTGGACATTCACAGGCCTTGCTGGTGCTGCTCCTGGCAGGGAGAAGCCTGCGGCTGCTTGGGCACCAGAGGAAGTGGCCGGCTATCTGGAGAAGAAGATGAACGAGGGGTTATTCTACATTCTCTGCCCAGATAACGAGGTAAGTGAAGAAATGGATCGCAAGAGGATGATGTGGAGTGTCGGGGATGTCGTCGAAGGCCGCCCACCCCTAAGTAGATGGCGTGATGACTACAAGGATGAGGCACAAGCATGGATGGCCAAGCAGTAGCACTGTTAGCTAATGGAGCACCTTATCTGTGAATAATGCAGAAAGAAGAAACCGCTTCTCGCTATCGTTTGTCGATTGATGAAGAGCAATGCACTCATGAAGGACTTCATGTCTGATGTCTTCCTTGTCTTTGGAAACCCGAGCTCAAAACGCCGCGCAAATGCAAATTCCACCGTTGCATCTCCTAACCCTTACATCCCATTGCTAATAACGGTCCACCGACAGATGCAATGTGGGGCCTTTCCCTGGGTAGGACGCAGCTATGCAAGTCAAATGCCTACTGCATTACAACTAGGCCATGAGACAGTATAACCCGCTTGCCTGTCTTCGACCTAGCCGCCACCCGGCATGCCATGCCTCTGAGGCGGCACTGGATTTGGTGGCATATTCCTGATCTGCTTGATCAAGAACTCTCTTTCGTCGATGAATTGTTCGTCATCGGTTCTATCCTCTAAGAAGTGAGACAGGAATGTGAGCAATTTTTCCCGGTTCATGAGCAAAATCTTCTGGACCGCAATGGATTTGTGGGGGTTGGCCACAAAGACCTTGAAGACATGAAAGCCCTCATACTGCACCATCTTGCGATCATCTCTCAAGAGGTTCATGCATATCTTGAGATGCTCTCCACGGTCAACGTAAGCTGTCATGACGCTGTAATTTGAACGGTCCAGCAAGATTTCACCCAAAAGCTTGATGGACTGCCGCTTGGTAACATAGCTGTTTGACTGCACGAGGATGTTGTTGTACTTGTCGAAGAATAGGTCGAAGTTTACGGAGAGATATCTCGGCACCAGCTCCTTGTGTTTTGTGAGAAGTTCCTGCAAGACGCGGGTGTTAGCGATGTGATCTTGAACCCCATGAGTCCCTCAAAGTAAGGGGGTTTACCCTGAATGTGGTGAAGGCATCCGCGGCTACTTCAAAGGAGCTCTTGTCGACCCAGTCAAAAAATCTCCAAAAGACGCCCTCGCCGCTCTGTCGACGGTCCCTGTCAATCAAGTTGATGCCCTTATTGCTGGACCCAGACTCCTCGTTGTCGTCGTAGAGAATGATGGCGGCGGCGGCCTCCGACTTGAGAACTTCTCGAAGTACAGAGCCGGCAGGCGTTGCACTTTCTTTGTGTTCGTAGCCGCGGCACAGTTCAAGAAGGACTTGTGGACGGTTGTTGACGACATAAGACAGAGCTAGAGGATCGCTTTTCGGGGATGCTGTAGGCGGGCGGAAGCGAAAAACGTATGAGAAAATAACCTGGGTATCTTTTCTCGATTCGAAGGGCAGACGCCAGAGGTTCACAGCCAGCAAGTAAAGTAAGTCTTCCTCAATCAAGCCGGTGACCAGCTGGTATATCTGTTCCGGGCTGCTATCGGACTCTGACCTGAAGTTAACGGCTGGCTTCGACAAAGGCTGTGTGTGGGAGGTGTACCATGGGTTCCTTGGAGGATAAACTTCATCTGGTTCAGGACTTTCGCGAGCTCTTCGGCCTGTATTGGAAATGGATGTTAGAGATCGAGCAAGTGCTAGTTGGAGTTGGTAGGGGTAACCAACCTTGGCAGCGCCATTTGGCCCTTCAAGCTTCGTTACGTGGTCTCTGGCTTGTTTGGGTAGGTCAACGGCAGGCCTTGTCCGAGCCCGGCCGAAGAGAAATGACATGGCGAAGGTGGTGGGCTAGGCCAAGGCACGAATCTTTCCTGAGGACTGCCGGGCGGCTTGACGGTGAGGCCACAGATAGCTACGGTTCCCGATCTTGAGTAAAAGGAGTGGGCAGGCAACAGCTATTCGCGACTACAGGCAGCTCCTGAATCGGACTCGTTGGCAATGGTTGGTAGCTGATACCGAAGAGGTGGTGGGCTGAGAAATGAGCCGTTCGTTGTGGGACAGCCTGGCCGGGCTTCGTCGACGAAGGTTATTTGTTTTGCGGCGATGGTCTGTCGGAGACAAGGTGGAAAGGCGCAATTCGATGAGGGGAGGCAGAGAGGAGGAAAGAGGAAAGTCCTAGACTGGTCGAAAGAGAGGAGACAGGCCGATGGGCGTGGTGTTGGGCCGAGTCCGGGTCGGGGTCTTGTTTACGTTAATACACGGCGGACGACGATCCCGCCGAGAAACACTGAGGACTGGAGGCGTTGCTCTTGTGATGAAAGTGGTTGCTTGGGGACGTCAAATTGGCCGGCATCTTCCACTGAGGTCGCACGTTGCTTCGCCTCCTACTCCTTGAGGTACCTCAGGCTCCTTAAGGCGCCTTGGGGCGTACCTAAGGTCTGTGAGGTGAGGCCCAGGCGGTGACGGGACTGAGGTGCCCTGGAGGAACAACCTAACCAACCTAAGCCAACCCAACGGATGAACCTCCTCAGTAAAGTGCTGATCCGGAGTGGTGCGAGAACAATGGACATGGGACCTCCCACCCAAGTTACGTGCCTAAGGTGGTCACCTACCCACCTACCACGCCTAGCTACGTTACCTGCCAGGTAGATTACCTAGGTTGTGTGTGTGTGTGTGTGTACCTCTGAAGGTTCCCAAAGTAGGTACCTAACGAGGTGGGGTGCCAAAACACGCCCAGGTACCTCTATCTAAGTATTCCCTCTCATATTCGTATGCGGAGTACCTTCTTCCTTGTAGCCTGTAGGAGCACCACGAATACCTAAGGTAGGTACTTGGGAAGCGTACGCATACCGCTAGTACTCACCCGCCAACCCCTCACTCAAGTGTCCATGCTGAGATGACTAAGAAGAGAAACTGAGTCGGTCGTCTGAGATGACTTGGCCGATTGCCCCGCGCTCGATAAGTCAATTGAGAAAAAATTACCCCACTGACTCACCTCTCACACTGAACCCCTCCAAATACCCCCCAAGTCGCCCACGTCCTCACAGATCCATACCCTCAGTATCTTGGGGTTTGACTCACATGACCCATTGACGCTTCTTCGTGGTCTTCCTACGAGGCTTCGTTGATCTCCAGAAGCTGCGCAGCTCCCGCCTCCTCTACTCAACGAAACACTGCCTGACCAAATTCACTACTGTTTTTTGGTGTGACACTATTCGGTTCGGCAGAGCCGCAAACCGCAACCCGGCTACGTTCCCTTACGCGGTTTTTGACTCTGACTTTGTCGCCTTCCGATCAACATCATGTCTATTGACTTCCCTAAGGAGGAGGAGGCTGTCCTCCAGAGATGGCGCGAAATCAAGGCATTTGAGCGTCAGGTAAGCCCGATCTCTTTTGCCCCCAGAGACAACAGTCGCACTCTCTGTTTGCGTCAATAACATTTCGTGTTTTTTTTTTATCCCGTACTGACAATCATCGCGCACGCAGCTCGAGTTAACACAGGGCAAACCCCTTTACACCTTCTACGATGGGCCTCCTTTCGCCACTGGTCTTCCTCACTATGGCCACTTGCTCGCCTCCACCATCAAGGACATCATCCCGAGATATTGGTCCATGAAGGGCTTTCACGTCGAAAGGCGTTTTGGGTGGGACACCCATGGACTGCCCATCGAGCACGAGATTGATAAGAAGTTGGGCATTTCTGGCAAGGCTGCTGTCATGAAGTTGGGATTGAAGAACTATAACGCCGAATGTCGATCTATTGTCATGCGCTACAGCGGGGAGTGGCGTCATACCGTTGAGAGACTCGGCCGTTGGATTGACTTCGACAACGACTACAAGGTAAGATCATTCACCACGTACCTTGTAGTATCACTAAGACTGACGAACACTTGTTCCCCAAAGACCATGGACCCTACCTTTATGGAGTCCGAATGGTGGGTTTTCAAGCAGCTATTCGACAAAGGCGCTGTCTACCAGGGCCATCGCGTGATGCCTTACTCAACAGCCCTAACTACAGCATTGAGCAATTTCGAGGCCAATCAGAACTATCAGGATGTCAGCGACCCTGCCATCGTCATCTCATTTCCCCTGGTCGAAGATCCCGAGACTCACCTGCTGGCATGGACGACGACTCCATGGACTTTGCCTTCGCATCTCGGCTTGGCCACGCATCCTGATCTCGAATACATCAAGATTCTTGACGAGAAGTCAGGCAAGAAATACATTCTGCTCGAGAAACTTCTTGGTACACTGTACAAGGACGTGAAGAAGGCCAAGTTCAAGATCCTTGAGAAGATCAGCGGCAAGGCCATGCTCGGCTGGAAGTACGAGCCCCCTTTCAACTACTTCTACGAAGAATACAAGGACGTTGCCTTCAGGGTACTGAACGCTACCTACATTACCGATGACAGTGGTACCGGCATCGTTCACCAGGCACCCGCTTTCGGTGAGGACGATTACAACGTCGCCGTTGCAGCTGGCATTGTCACCGAAAACAGGGCGCCTCCCGACCCTATTGACGACAGCGGTCACTTCACCGGCCGCGTTTCTGATTTCGCCGGCATGCACGTCAAGGAGGCCGACAAGCACATCATCAAACACCTGAAGGGTGCCGGAAAGATCGTGGTCGACTCCACGCTCAAGCACTCATACCCTATGTGCTATCGTTCTGACACCCCTCTCATTTACCGCGCAGTTCCCTCGTGGTTCGTCCGTATCCCCGAGATTATCCCTCAAATGCTGGAGAACATTAAAGGCTCGCATTGGGTGCCCTCTTTTGTCAAGGAGAGGCGATTCGCCAGCTGGATCGAGAACGCCCGTGACTGGAACGTCTCACGAAACCGTTACTGGGGTACCCCCATCCCACTATGGGTCAGCGATGACTTGGAAGAGCGAGTATGTATCGGCAGCGTGCAGGAGTTGCGTGAGCTGAGTGGCTACACTGGAGACTTGTCTGATCTTCATCGAGACAGCATCGACCATATTACGATTCCTAGCAAGATGGGCAAGGGGACTTTGAGACGCATTGAGGAAGTGTTTGACTGTTGGTTTGAATCTGGCAGTATGCCATACGCCAGTCAGCACTATCCCTTCGAGAATGTTGAAAAGTTCGAGAAGTCGTTCCCTGGTGACTTCATTGCCGAAGGCTTGGATCAGACCAGAGGATGGTTCTACACTCTACTTGTCCTCGGCACGCATCTGTTCGGCAAGATTCCATTCCAGAACTGCGTTGTCAATGGCATAGTTCTGGCCGAGGACGGAAAGAAGATGTCGAAGCGCCTCAAGAACTACCCAGTCCCTGATTTGGTCATGGATAAGTACGGATCCGACGCCCTCCGTCTCTATCTCATCAACTCGCCAGTCGTGCGTGCTGAACCACTGAGATTCAAGGAGTCTGGTGTCAAGGAGGTTGTTCAAAAGGTTCTGCTACCTCTTTGGAACAGTTACAAATTCTTCGAAGGCCAGGTGACGCTGCTCAAGAAGGTCGAGGGAATTGATTACACTTGGAGTCCAAAAGCCCTGTCGAACAACGAGAACGTGATGGATCGGTGGATCTTAGCTAGCTGCCAGAGCTTGCTGCAATTCGTCAACCAGGAGATGAGTGGTACGTTGAGACTCTCACACTTGTCTCCATAAACCTCGCTAACATGCCTTTTCTACTAGCCTATCGACTTTACACCGTTGTCCCGCGTCTGCTCGGGCTCATTGAAAACACCACAAACTGGTACATCAAGCTCAACCGAAGACGTCTCAAGGGTGAGAATGGAGTCGAGGACACCCAACATGCACTCAACACCCTATTCGAGGTCATCTTTACGCTGTGCCGCGGCCTTGCTCCTTTCACTCCCTTCATCACCGACACCATTTACCAAAAGCTCCGCCCCTTCATTCCTAAGGAGGCCGAGGCAGAAGACGCGCGCAGCGTCCACTTTTTGCCGTTCCCCGAGGTGCGCCAGGAGTTGTTCGACGAGGTCGTCGAGCGTAGAGTCGGTAGAATGCAGAGGGTCATTGATCTGGTCAGAGTGTCTCGCGAGAGAAGAGCAGTCGGTCTCAAGACCCCGTTGAAGACGCTCGTGGTTATTCATCGCGATCCTCAATATCTCCAAGATCTCGAGTCTCTCTCGTCTTACATCAAGGAGGAGATGAATGTAAGAGATCTAGTCCTCACATCTGACGAGGCCAAGTACAACGTCCAGTATAGCGTTACTGCCGACTGGCCTGTGCTAGGTAAAAAGCTCAAGAAGGACATGGCGCGGGTCAAGAAGGCGCTCCCGACGCTCGGTAGCGACGCTGTCAAGGAGTACTCGGAGAAGAAGGTGATTCTCGTCGATGGAATCAAGTTGGAGGAAGGCGATCTCGTTGTGAGACGAGGCTTGAAGGAGGATGAGTCCTCGAAAAATCTGGAGACCAACTCGGACAATGACGTGCTCACCATTTTGGACGCGGAGCTTCATGTGGAACTTGCCCACGAGGGTCTCGCAAGAGAGATCATCAATCGCGTACAGCGTCTCAGGAAGAAGGCCAAGCTGCAACCGACGGATGACATCAAGATGGAATACAAGGTTATCAGCGACCCTGACAACATTGGCCTGGAAGAGGTGTTTGTTTCGCAAACTAAAGTCATTGAGAAGGCGCTCCGCAGACCGGTGGACAAGCACGAAGTTACTACGGTGGAGGGCGAGGTACCGAGCGAACAGCAGAAGGGAGTCATCGCAGAAGAGGAGCAAGAAGTGCAGCATGCGACATTCTTACTCCGCCTGCTCGAGCTTTAGATGCGAGGTATGTAGTGAGAGCAACCTTGAGGTAGCTTGGATCACTAGTACATGGGTAGTTTAAAATGATGAAGGCCTAAGAGGTCTGAAGAGAAGATCGATTTCACTGCAACAAGGCTCGAAGTCTTAGAGACTGCTCTATTGTGCTTCTACCATGATTATTTTGCTTTGCGAGCAGCAACCTTTTGATTGAACGATTCAGTGTCAGCGACGTGGTAGACTCAGTAGAGACAGAGGTGGAAAGGGGCACGGTGGTGAGAAGTACAAGATAGCAATCCTTCAGTCTTAGAAACTCCTTCAAACACTTATCCTTATGGACGGAGTTGTAGTCGGCAACGATGCACTTGCCGTACGTGGAGGTCTATTTCTTGGTCAGTACGTCTTCGAACCGTAAAGTAGCTACGGCTGGACCAGGGGCCTTGACCGAAGGACTGACCTCGGCTGAACATTGACTGACTGCGGCTGCAAACTTCTGGATTGGCCGTGTGCGAACCATGATAACTGCTTGGGATGGGCCTCGGGTAGAAGGGGGTGGAAGCAGAATGAAAGATGTGATTGTTGCGCAGTTGATGGAATTACGTCGTCACAATATGAAGGTACGGGTGGCCGAATCTACCTTGGGACTGATCAAAGACGTCGCCGAAGTCTTGCCTTAGGATAAGGTAGGCAGGCAGCGGGTGTGGTAGGTACCTTTGGTAGGTTCCTTAACTCAGTTAGGAACCTCCCTTCCTATGAAGCCATGGGCTTGCCTTAGCGTGATAGGGTGAGCACATATTGAATAAGAGGCCTGTTGGGCTAAGTCCAAGATTCGGTTATATGCATAGCTTTTCAGACCTACCTACCTATTGTAGGGTGCCCAATGGATCATGAAATCCAGCTGTGGCGGGGGGGAGGAGCAGCACAGGGTGACAGGGCACAAGCTCTGGGCCCTTGGTAGCACCCATGAACAGACGGGTTCGAGCAGGCTGACCTATCAGCAATGCGTCGCGACACCAGGATCAATTGCAGCCCAGCCAACAGCAGCGTACCCATAGCGGCTATCTTGGTGCTCCGCCATAGGACGCGAAATAAACAGACGGGGGGAAGAAGAGAATAGGAAGAGGAGAAAAAAAAAAAAAAGACGGGGTTGGGAGCGACCGTGGATTGACCACTTGCTGATACCCGCAAATATATCTGTGTCTGTCTGGTCAAGACTGCTGCAAGAAGTGGAAGCAGCTAATACATCACAATATACCTGACCTGCCTATTGTGACACCCGGTCTTCTCCCCGTCAACCTCGATTTTTGGACATCATCCATCGTCGCCCTTCACCGGCCAATTGCGACCTCGTTAGTCCCCTACGCGCCTAACCCGTAGCGCGCGGTGGACATGGCAGCGCCGCGACCAGCTTATTGCCATCATTCCGATTTGCGACTTTTGCGACGCGACTCAACACCAGCTACATGATCAATCATCGCTGCAAAACGTGAAGCTCTTTCACAGTCCAATTTGTCGCGATCAAATGTATCCAGCATTCTTGCCCGACTATACACCATCACCGGGATCAAACCTGGCTCCTTAGCATTACGAAGGCAAGCTGTAATCGTACTCGGCTATCGCTACCACCATCATCATCATCACTACCACCACCACCACCGCCCCACACTCTTCTACAGCCGTTCTATTATGCTCCCAGCCTGGCGCCAGTTCACATGCCGTCGCTGCCGCATCGCCCAGTGCTGGCCCCCCGTGACGGCATATCCAGCTTTGTGTCTGTCCAAAGCTCGGATTCCTATTACAGCGATCATGGTAAGTGCAGCTCAAAGTGCACCTTTACAGCATCATTACCTACACCCACCATGCCTTCGACTGCAAAGCGCACTCCGTCTGACGACGTCTCACAGAAATCGCCATTCTACACCGTGTCGTCACGGCAGCCCAGGAGAACCTCGAACTCCTTCCCGAGGGCGAGCGGCTGGCAACAAACGCCTTATTCCAGGCTTATGATGCCGTGCTCCCACTCTTTGGCATCGATCCGGAGGAGGAAAATCATATCTCGCGCCTCGTATTCCGCGTTGGCGGTGAACGTGGCGAAGGGTCACTCCAGGAGAAACTTGACGCCGTCTTATCAAGGATGGGCATCGGCCTCGAGTTCGGAAGTGAAGGTTCCAGGGTATTATCGAACAACGGCGACGACGGAGACGAAGACGGAGACGAAGACAGAGCCGGAGCCAAATATGAGGAGGCTGTTCCGCCACAGCCTACGCTTACGGACACGGACCGAGACTCTGACACGTCTGGATACGAGTCCTCCAAAGAGGTTGAGCTTGCACTCCGAGAACCAAACGCGCCTCTGCCACCTTCGCAAGCGCAAGCGTCACATCACTTGGACGACGCTGAATCTCCCCCAAGGCTGACACGCGTTGGCTTGGTATCGAATCACTTGGATCTAAAGCCTATCAGCCATAATAAACTGCCATCCCAAAGCTATACTCCCTCGACGGCTGGAAACACAGAACAGAGTCGCCAAAGCCGGCAGTCGGTATCTGGCACCAGTGTGCAACGTGGCGCCAGCGACACCACGGTTCAGCCCATTGAGGCGTCTTATATCCATCCTGCGAACGAGACCGAGGCGGTCGCTCTACCAATACGGACAAAGCCCGTAAGAACGGTGAACTGGCTGCTTCCGCCTGATACTGACAGCATCAGCGCCGGCACCAGTGTCGGTACTACTGCCCCAGAAGCAGTTCGAAATGGCACCAGTGTTCCTGAGATCGCGGAAGACCATTTTGTCCCTGATATTGAGACACGGAATTGTCATGAACGTGAGCTCAGTACCCTACAGCGGTCATTACACACGCCTGCTGTACGTGAGTCTACAGTCCAGGAGATTGCCGCTCGTCAAGCTGCCACGCAACAGCAAACTGGCGAAGAACCCTATGGAGGCGCGATCGAGGTTGAAGAAGCAGAGCCAGTGATTGACGACGAAATCAATGGAGACCCTGACGACGAAGCAAGATATGCGGTACTGGAATGGAAATCAACCAAGGTGAAGGGGTACTTGTTGCTCCTACGAGGACTGTCACACTGGAAACAACACGCTCTTGACAAGCTCGAACGAATGGCCGTAGCCAGGAGGCATATTTTGCGGATGCGTCACTTCGACCCGTGGGAGCTGGTCACGGCCGAAACTAGGATCCGTGGTCGTCGCGTGTTCACTTCCCGTCTTATGGCCTCATGGCTCAGGCGCGCTGGTGATGACTTGGATACAGAAGATGCAGCATTGGCCCATACCCAACGGAGTACGACCCAGAATGCCCTCAGACACTGGTCGACCTCCTGCCTGACCCCGACGGAACCTCTTTATCCGCCGCGCACTGTGTCCATTTATCTGCGACAATGGCATTCGGTTTGCTCAATTTCAGAAGGCCTAGGGTCGCACATGGAGAATCTGTATGAAGAACATGGAAGATTTCGGGTCTTGAAGACATGGTCCTACCAAGCAGCGTTTCATCTGAGAGATGTTACGGCATTCCGCAGATATCATGTCGTTCAGGGTTCTTTACACCAGTGGCATCTTGACTCAAGGGTAGAGGTCTTCAAGTCCAAGTTGGAAACCAAGCTCCTTCGTAGCTGCTTGTCGAGGTGGCAAAGCGCGTGCAAGGCGCCACCAACATTTGGCCAGACCAACGTCTTTAGCCGCGGTATTGCTGTAGAACCTGTGTCCAGCATGGCTTTGCCCAGACCGCGGCGAGGCGTGAGTTCCCTGATGGCCATATCAGATCGTCTGCTGAAGACCAAAGTTCTTGGCAATTGGCAACGGCAAGCTTCAATAGTCGCCAAGACGAGCACGAGATCGCGTCGGTTTGCATCGCATCAAGGGGCGCATAAGGCATTAGAAACGTGGCATATCGACGTCGATGAAAAAAAAAACCTCCAGAAGTGGGTGCAGCGTGGTTGTTTCTACATCAGTGCCACACATACACTCAAGACATGGCGATCCAGATCAGCTTGGAGGTCAGGGACTCGTAAATCCTATGCCCGATGCAGACAGCACGTCAAAGCTACCTTCACGAAAGGCTACCTTCATCTGTGGAAGACAGCTACCCGTGCTCACGGAAACTTGGGCTCGAAAACAGATCAGCATCACATTGTAGTGGAACATGATCGTCTCATTCACATGCTGAAATTGTGGCGAGACGAAAGCAGTCGCGATTGGGGAACGGGTATACTTCTGATTGCAGCATGGTTGGACGAATGGAACGGAATGTCCCAAGACTTCGCAGCCAAAGAGGACCGCATCAAACAGGCTTGGTCGGTGAACCTGAAGTCACGTTGGTGGAGCCAGTGGCAGTCATCTTTGCTGCAATTGAAAAGCCGAGAATACGTGGCACTGGACGTGAGGGAGAGGAACAGCAAGAAGGCTGTACGACGCCTTCTGCTACATTGGAAGGGGGACAGGAATTTGAGCACATCTCACCAGTCAGCTGCACTTAGAGCTAGTCTCGGCAGCTCAAGAAGAGGAGCTGGCTTCGTGGCCAGTCGCACCTCGCTGCCACTCTCGAGAGCAGTTCATGAACGACCCAGCGGGCCAAGTCTTAGGGGTTCTAGGATACAAGAAGTGGAGCCAACGGCTGACGACGACGATCACGACGGAACCGGGTCAGGACCAGATGCTGATGGAGTTGTAGCGGATACACCGACCCGGTGGACGGGTATGGCGTCTTCTGTGAGGCTTCCGTCCATGACACCTTTTGCTCCCCTTCCAACGCCATTCGAACGAGAGCTCCGGGAACGGTACAACCGAAGCGTGCCTACAGCTGCCACTGGCCATATGAGCAGCCTCTCCTTCGCACAGGCGCAAAGACTCTCTGTGGCCGGGACACGGCGAGCAGCTAAGGAGAATACAGCGGATGATGGGAGAGGTGGTTGATGGGACATGGGCGGAAACCTTTTATGAGAACAGGTGATATGCAACGGTCATGTGGATATCATTCGTATGTTTGGAAACCTTTAACCGGTATACCCAGACTATGTATTTTTGTATTACAAATGAAGCCTTTTGGCATGGGCTAGAGATCAGTGTTTGTTCTTCTGGTATCGTTGTGGAACAAATGCTCATCATCTGCCTAAGTGAAGATGCGATATCTTAGGTATCAGTCGGGCAGGTTGTTGGCTCACCTTGAGCCTGCTTGAGGTAGGTACCCACCTTAAAGTAGCTAGCTATCTTACCTACCAATACGGAGGATGTATACAGATGCAAAGGGACCAACTGGGTGACAAAAAAGAGCAATCCAATGCTGGAGTGGCCCCCTTCTTATTACCCGTGCCATTGTGATAAATGCATCACTACGGCTTGCCAGACGTGTTGTCTGAGGAATATCTTAAACAAAACAAAATCAAAAGTAGTAGTAGTTATAAGGTAGAATGAAGAAGGTGGAGAGAGTTGAGGTACCGTGGGTACTGAGCAGCAAACCGTCATGTCGCTGTCACCCTTTTGGAGACGTAAGGTACCGATCGACCCCACACCCCTGGGTTTACCACCCGCTGCAGTGCGCATTGCGCACGCCTAGGCACGGTATTAGTACGGATACGTTACCTTCCTTGCGCCTGGGAACCTTACCATGGCATGGTCCAAGTTTAAGCTCCTCACAACACTTGCATTGACCGAACTCGGTCTATGACAGAGCTCAATCCGCACGCCAAATCAGACGAGGAGCCTTTGGAAAGACTTACCAATTCTCAAACACTGACTCAAGCCCAACCCGCGATACTCGACAACTATCGAGGCACCACGTCCGCCTAAGCAATGCTGCTGTGGTTTTCTTGCTAGTAGGATGAGAGCAGTCCTCCCAGGTAGGCCGAGGTCTGGGCTTCAAGCTCTCGCGACGGGCTTTTGGGACTCGAGGCACTTCAATGTGAGCCACTTGATCATGCTTTGATGACCTTCTATCATTATCGCTTCCGCTGCCATAGTGCTGACTTCTGATCACCCAGGTCTACATAACCGGCAGCGCGTTTACCATACTTGGCGATGCCGACACCATCATTCAGACAATATACGACGACGATCCGAGCCAGTTGCAGGCCGCAGCCTTCGACGAGTCCTCGGGCAAGATTGCAACCTGCACCGAGTCCGTTATTCGAGTCTATAAACCTTTTGGGCAATACGAAAATGCGCTAAAAGTAAGTTCGTCCTCCTTACCAGGCGACGTTGTCTTTGCCCTTGGGGTCCATCTCCCATTCTGCTACCCGTTCCGCACCTGTCGCCCGTACTAGCTTGCGAACAAATGCTGACGATACTCCTGCGTATCAGTGGGGTCTGCAATCATCGTACCCAGTTCCTGACCACCAACATGCCACCAAAGGGATATCTCTAAGCTGGGGCGGCAACGAGGAGCTCCTGGTTGCCCACTCCGCGTTATACTTATACTCAACCGTCGACGAGCCGGAACAGTTATGGAACAAACCCCTTCCGAATTCCGTCAAACTAGCAGAGATATCCTACGATTCAGCATACATAGCATGCGTAGGCGCGCATGACTGTCTCGTCAAAGTCTGGCGCCGCTTGACATATGGTGCTGAAGATGTGCGCTTCGACCTGGCCTACCTACGCCACCCAGATCTAGTAACGAGCCTGCGTTGGCGAAAACCGCTGCATACCAATCAAACTTTAGAGAACGTTCTTTTTACAACATGCGCCGATAACGTTGTCCGAGTATGGACAAGCACTGACACGCATGCCTTTCGACACGTGAACCTTTGGGGGTCCATCGACTTGGTTTCGTCCTTCCGAGATCTTGGACTTAGTTTCACCACGACTACAGCGCCGCTAGTTACCTTCGTCATTGATGGAAGAGAGGTGTCTGCTGCTACAGAGCTGGCTGTCCAGCGGTGTTCCGTGAAGGAAGAACCACGCGATGCTGCTCTCGAATGCCTCATTTCTTTGGCCAACAACAGCGCCGAGCTATGTGTCGCCTCTGACGCCGTTGGAAACATGGTGGTATTTGCTTTTGAGGACGTGGGCTCCAAGACGAGAAAGTTCCATGATGCCATCAGAGTGACAAGTTTTAAGTCACACACTCTTGATTTCAGGTCTGACCAGTATGTCAGCATACAAAGCTATTGCGACCGAGCCACCGGGCGACTGCATGTACTCGTTCACGATTTTGACGGCCAGATCCAAATATACGACGCCGACTTGGCAGAGTTTCTAAGCGCAAAGAACAAGTCAGGCCGTCTTGCGCGGCGCTGTATCTGGGCCGGCCATTCAGCGCCTATCCAAAAAATGGTTCGAAACTTCAGTGGTCGAGCTGTTGTTTCTAGAACCGAGGAAGGCGAAAGCATTGTTTGGACGCACTCCGAAACCAGTCAGACCAGCCTGTCACGCCAAAGTGTCATCCAAGGAAACGCTCACATCCATCGAATATGTGTGTTACGCAAAGGCCGTTTTGTCATATTCCTAGAGCAAGGGAAAATATCACTATGGGACTGTCGGCACCAGAAAGCAATATTACTCGCGAGTCAATCGTACGATATCTCAGGGAAGCCCTTGTGCTTACTGATTCTGCCTCGGCATCGAGTTGAGGAGTATGCCGTTGCTCATATTGCAACTGTCACGTCGGATGAGGAAGGGCTTGTTTGGGAAGTCAATCTACCTCGATACTCCAGTCAAGGTGTTGATGTACATGCCAATGGCCAAGACGAGACCTCGATCAGCGAGTTTTGCAGATTCAAACTGAAAGACGCCGAGGGGATCGCCTATATGCTCCCCGTCGACCCAGCGGGATCTACGCCCGCCACATCTGGCTTTCTTGATGTATTTGCTAGGGACATCGCAGTGTCATACACACACGCAGGACGGGTAGACTTTTGGACAGCGAGGGTCGGCAATACGGGAAAAAGTGTCGGATGGCTCTCGACCTCCTCAGCAGAGACAGGCCTTGTCGAACCGGCTCTTGTCAGTGGCAGCACTCTCAAGAAAGCTGCAATCGTGGATTCCGCAAGGTCCCAGCTGTTTATTTGGGACATCGGTGGCGCTCGACTTGAGTTTACACAGGACTATGGAAGACACAATTCGATACAAGACCTTGACTGGACTTCGACGCCAGATTCACAATCCATCCTCGCCGTTGGCTTCCAATCAAAAGTCGTTCTGCTCAGCCAGATGCGGTTTGACTACTTGAACAAAGGTCCGGCCTGGGCCGCAGTCCGGGAGATCAGTATTCGCGAATTCACTCCTCACCCAATAGGAGATTCGACCTGGCTAGGCGATGGACATCTCGTTATCGGTTCAGGTAACCAGATGTTCGTTCACGGGAGGGAGTATGACCTATCCGGCTCCTTGATCAACAGCCTGCAACTGCCGCACAGGAAGAACGGCGTCTGGGATCTTTTTGACGCTGTTCAGAGGTTTAACGGCCCTCTGCCGGTTTTCCACCCTCAGTTCCTGAGCCAATGTATCCTTGCAGGGAAGAGCACCATAGTCCGAACGATTCTGATGTCACTGCACAAAACTCTCAAGTTCCTCATTGCAGGTGAGACGGTCGATGACTACCTTGGACTCGAACCAGCGGTTTTCTACTCATCCGGGGTAAGGCGTTTGTTCATTGCATTGACTATTACTTCAACCAAAGGTGGAGCAGAGGCTAACGTACTCACCAGGCCTCACCGACGCAAGCATCAGAGTCCCAGGTAGGGTCTCACTTCAGTCTGCAAGTATCTGCCGACGAGACAGACGACTCAGAGGAGCCTTTCAGCGAAGAAACTGCACTTGCCATCAATGTTCGTCTTACCAAAGTTGGCCTCCAACAGCTGTCGGGTCATGAGCAAATACAACTGGCTGATATCGTTGAATGCGTGGGGATCGTCGAGAAACAGCGCAGATCCCTGGACGAGAATGGTGCACGTTTTATGCTCTTTTTCCGCCAGCATGGGCTTCGCAAGGGCCGGACAAGCGAAATCCAGATGTCCTGGCGAGAAATCAACTGGGCTTACCACTCGACCAGCCAGGATATTCTCACTGATTTCGTCTCCAAACAATGCCACGGTGCACTACGCTGGGAGGATGCGCGGGAGAGCGGCATGTTTATGTGGCTCACCGATCGGAATGCCTTGGTACGTAAGCCCTGTTTGCACCGCCAAGAAGTGCATATCAGTTAACAATAAGCGTAGCTTGCGCAATTCGAAATCGTTGCACGTAACGAATACACCAAGAGCGAGATGAAGAATCCAGTTGACTGTAGCATCTACTACCTGGCTCTCAAGAAGAAGACAGTCCTACAGGGACTCTGGCGAATGGCTCACTGGAATAGAGAGCAGGGGGCAACGCAGAAGTTGCTGTCCAATAACTTTGAAGACCCGAAATGGAGGACGACGGCGCTGAAGAATGCTTACGCGCTGCTAAGCAAGCGACGCTTCGGTGGGTCAAGAAGTGTACTAATGAATTTCTGAGGCTGACATACGGGCACACAGAGTACGCCGCAGCATTTTTCTTACTTGCGGACCACCTGCAAGATGCTGTCAATGTCTGTTTGAATCAACTTAAAGATCTTCAGCTCGCAGTAGCTATCGCGCGTGTCTACGAAGGAGACCGAGGTCTAGTGTTGACGAAGCTCCTGGAAGAAGAGGTACTAGCTGTGGCCGCCAAGGAGGGCAACCGCTGGCTTGCATCCTGGGCCTTCTGGATGCTGAATCGCAAGGATATGGCGGTCCGGGCCCTGATTGTAAGTTCCGTTACGTGGCTCTCAAATGATCTGCCGTTTTCTGCCAGTACCTAACGTATCCTTGGTGTTGTAGTCACCGGTTTATACCCTGGTTGAGACGCCGTGCTCTCCAAACATGCAATCGAAATTGTTCCTCACAGACGACCCGGCATTAGTAGTACTATACTCACAGCTACGGCAGAAAACGCTCCAGACCCTTCGCGGAGCCTCAAAGGTTACACCACGCGTCGAATGGGAATTCGTCCTCCATAGTGCCAAGCTCTATGACCGAATGGGATGCGATCTTCTCGGCCTAGACCTAGGTAATCCCCCCGCGGCGGTATGGGTACGATTTGATGGATCTGACATGACGATAGTACGCAACTGGGAGTTTCTGAAGCCAGCCCCGCCTATTACGAATGGATTAGGCGGTGAGGTCAACCCGCTGAAGCTACTGCGCCGACGCAGCTCGCTTGTAGTTGCAGATCTGCCCGTGTCAAAGCTTCATTCCGAGATGAGATCAAGCGGGCAGGGGAAACAGTCAACTCCAACGGTTTTCCAGGAACCAGACTCAAGCTCGCTGCTTGATAGTTTCGGGTTTTGATCACAGGAGCGCAAACGGGTCTACTTGTTGCTTCAATACAATAGAGCAGGATGTACGATATGCTACCATTGTCTCGTAAAATATGAATGCATGCGGCGGGAGATGATCTTCTCAATACGTGAAAGGTGATGAGACGACTTAGAAATTGGGTATCAGAAATTGGCGACGCTCTCATGAGTGCCTAGAGGAACTTGTTGCTTACTAAGCAGAGTCACAGTTTCCCCAGTCCGAGCACGTCATCCTCAATTGTTGCCGAACTCCGTCCGGACCAGCACTGGGACCTGGACTGGTCTAGTGCTCTTTGCTGGCTAGCTATTTGATGTTCCACTGGTGAGGCAGAAGGGCGAGTCGCGCGGCCCCCGAGCCGATGGTTATTGGAACATTGTCCTTAGTTGGTGGCCCTTCTCCGTGCAGGGGGATCCGGAAGATAACAATTCAATTACGGATCCCGTATCTCGACTTCATGCATGCAGCGGTGAGGGGGCGCATCACCTTTTGTGTTCATATGCTTGCTGTCTTATGTAATTGATCATCAGCCTCTATATTGTTTCATTGCGTACGAAGTTCCCTCTCTACTTTTGGCTGAGCGAAAGGAAGCTGGAACAACAAACCACCGCCACCTTAACTCACCCTCACCCTGCGGCTCTAGGCTTTCGTAGGCACTCCCATCCCATGCACGCGTCCGCTGGACGAGTCACAATACAAACGACAGGTTGGTCAGTACGCCTTTAACGCGCATAGTAGCGAGGTTGTGAAACGCCTTCGAATACCTCACTTCTGGACATTCCGATCGACCTTCTCACATTGCGGCACTGCCCGGTCAGAGTTTACGACATTGATCATGGCGCCTGATCGGGGATATCGCGACGATGCCGATGGCGACGTTCACGATACTATCAGCAGCAGTAACCGCAGCTCGATTTCGCATGCTTCTTACCCCGAGAATACCTCCGAGCGGGGACCTGTCATCCACGGCCGCAGCTTCACCTTTCGTGGTGTTGCAGTCGGCCTGCTGGTCGGATTGGTTATTTGCTTCTCCAACATGTATTTTGGCTTGCAGACGGGTTGGGTGAGCACCATGACTATGCCAGCTAGCTTGATGGGTTTCGGCATCTTCAAGGCCCTGTCCAGGCACCTGCGATTCCCATTTAGTCCTGTCGAGAATGTCCTTGTGCAGACCGTAGCTGGAAGCATGGCCATCATGCCACTTGGCTGCGGATTTGTCGGTGTGGTATGTTCCCCATGCCCCTGGCATTGTTACTTCTCTCCGCAACTTGATGCGGTAAACCAGACGAGGTTAATGGCTGACATGTCACTTTTCCTCGTTCAGATTCCCGCCATGAACTATCTCTTGGCTCCCGAGGAACAGGGGCCTCTCAACATCCCCTTGTGGAAGTTGATCACATGGTCTCTTGGTCTTTGTTATTTTGGTGTTGTCTTTGCTGTCCCCCTGTGAGTTGGCTGCAGAAAGCTTGCTCGTCGACCTTCAGTCTAACCTCCAATGCCAGTCGGCGACAAGTCATCATCCGAGAAAGGCTCCGTTTTCCTAGCGGATTTAGTACTGCTGTTCTCATCGGGGTCCTTCATGGCCAGACGCGGAAGGCCGGCCCCGACGCCGTATCAGGCGGCTTCGCGAGTCTCGTACCGGATCATGACTCGAAGCCGAATTTGACACTGGGGTCTAGCCGTAGCCACAACATTGGAGATCCCGAAAATGCCGATTCCGAGTGCCTCGAGAGTCGCTCCAAGGATGATTGGGCTCAGAATGTGAGGCTACTTCTCATATGCTTTGGGATTTCGGGCTTGTACACTTTGTCCTCCTACTTTTTGCCCGCTTTGCGAAGTATCCCTATATTTGGCACCGGTGCCGCAGGAACTTGGCTTTGGACGTTGAACCCGAGCCCGGCCTATATTGGCCAGGGCATAATCATGGGTTCTGAAACGACTTTACACATGCTGCTGGGAGCCGCAATAGGATGGGGGTTCCTCTCTCCGCTAGCCAAGTATCGGGGATGGGCACCTGGTTCCATCGACGACTGGGAAACAGGCAGCAAGGGCTGGATCGTGTGGATCTCCCTGGCCATTATGCTCGCGGATGCCATTGTCAGCCTCAGTTACATTGCTTTCCGCCCCTTGGCCCAGCGTGTTGCCAATGAAGGTGTGAAAGGTATGTGGCAGCAAACTTTGCTAGGTTGGCAGAAGCATTTTGGGGCCAGCCGGCGTTCCACCCCAGCATATACTGCTCTGAACACGGATGAGGATGGAGAGGCGACGAGTACCTCCCGGCTCGTGTCTGACGAGTCGCAATCCTCTGTGGTTCACCGTGGATTGTCAACGTCGGGTGTCAGCGATGGTCGCGCCGACGAAGCAGACGCACCAGAAGACCAACAAATCGACAACAAGCTTGTTGCCGTGGGGCTGATTTTGTCCATTCTGCTCTGTATCATCACCATACACATTGTCTTCGGCGACCTGGTTCCCCTCTACGCCACGGTCGTTGCTGTCCTAATGGCTCTGCTGCTCAGCATCATGGGTGTCCGAGCACTCGGTGAGACGGATTTAAACCCCGTATCCGGCATCAGCAAGCTTGCGCAACTATTCTTCGCACTCATCATTCCCCAATCACATAAGTCCAGTGTGCTTATCAACTTAGTTGCAGGTGCAGTGGTAAGTGGTCTAATAAACTCCAATTTCGTAGTCTAAGTAATCGCTAACTGAGCTTTCTAGTCCGAGGCCGTATGTCACTTGATGCTACGCTACTAACTTGACTGGAATTGACGCTGACTTGCCGAACTTAGGGGGCTCTTCAAGCGGGTGATTTGATGCAGGATCTCAAGACAGGCCATCTCTTAGGAGCCGCGCCCAGAGCCCAGTTCTGGGGCCAAGTGATTGGAGCAACAGCAGGCGCTGTGGTCAGTGCCTTTGTGTACCAGCTCTACACAGCGTGAGTTACAATGCCAACACCATTGATTTCAAGATGCTGATCGACCTTTATCAGAGTCTATACGATTCCGGGAGATCTCTTCCAGGTCCCAACGGGATACGTATGGATCTTCACGGCCAGGCTAGTGACGGGCAAAGGCTTACCGCCTATGGCGCGTGAGTGGGCAATCGGCTTCGGTATCATATTTGCCTCCACGACAGTTGTGAGGACCATGGTGACCGGCAAGCCTTGGCGTTCACTTGTGCCAGGAGGTATTGCCGTGGCGGTTGGTAAGTGTGCCTTGAAAATTATCATATCCCCTAAATTCGATGTCAGGGGCAAGATTGACCGAGAGATGGTAGGAATGTATAACGTTCCATCGTTCACCCTGGCCAGAACTGTTGGCGGCTTGCTAAGCTGGTACTGGGTCTCCAGGCGAGGCGAGTCGAGCACGCCATTGATTGTGCTGGCATCAGTGAGTACTGACGGTGCCCACACGCGAACAGGAGTGGTAGCTGACGCAAGCTGTGTTCTAGGGCTTCATACTCGGTGAAGGGTTTCTTAGCATCGTGAATCTCATTTTGCAAAGCATTGGTGTTCCTCACTACTAGAAGCGCAGGCATGAAACGATGTCTCTATGGCTAAGGTGTAGGAGGTGTCCGAGGACAAAGTGATTGGACTGAGGAACAGGGATAGGGGAGCCGAGCGAGAGACTGGGGCATTGAAGGAAGTCCTAGAGAACAGCAGAGAATGGCAAAAGCAACAGTTTCCATATCGAGGCTGGTCATCATAGCGAGTAGGAGGAAGATGTACGCACTATTTATTGATTCCTTGCCATGGATGTACAAGCTTTAAAAAATTCAAGCCGCCTGTCCTGTTATCACCACGCTTCCAATAGCTGTATTTATTCTTTTTATCTCTTACTTGGGCTGTTGTTGATATATTATAGAGTTGAAAAAAGATGCAGAAGAAAAACAGGATACTAGCAATGAAACTGCTGGGACCCGTAATAACAAATATATAAACGCTATTCACTTGGGTGGCAGATCATTCTGTCACCCACTTGAGGGGTAATGGAGGGGTGGAGGGGTAACAGACAGTCAGAGAGGGGTAGGAAAAAGGAAAGCAAAATATTTGACCAAATTTCAATCCAAAATGAGAAAACAGGGGGGAAAGACCTACGACCAAATAGAGGAGGAAAAAAGAATGGAAAAAAATCGAAAAAGGCGGCATATAACAGCGTCTCTTCCCACCTACACGCCTACTTTACCAAGGGTAACCTTAGGTCCAATCCAATGACAAACGCGGGTAGAGAGGGTAACTAAGGCAGCCATGGAAGGAGGTAGTCCACCCAGCTTCATTGGACGGCAGGTTCAGTAGGTGCCGGCCGGCGTGCCTGCCGGACCCTTCCACGGTTCCAAATTATTTTATCGGGCCCCAGCACAGTCCCACAAGCTTAGAGAAGGAGGAAAATATCCAATCCTTTACTCAATCTCTCACCCAACTCCAAGGTGACATCAACTTGAGCAAGGCAATCTCACCAAGAAGACCCAAAGAAAATACCTCGTCGACGAGGAAACCCGTGCCCTGCACTTGAATTGTTTGTCAAGGAGCACGAATTATTCCAAGTCGACCTGAAAGTGAGCACCTTCAAACATGACCCAAGACGATCTCAAGAACGGTGCTCGCGCCGGCTCCGATGTCTCATCTGACGAGTCTGACTGGGATGATGCGGAGCCCGAAGAAGAGGAGGCACAATCCTTCATTTCTTTGCTTGACGATACCGTCTTTCCTGACGTCGATGCCATGCTGTGTCACTGCCGCGCAAAGCACAACTTTGACTTCCTCGCCATCCGCCGTCGGCTTGGTCTTGACTTCTTTGGCACCGTCAAGCTTGTCAACTTCAGTAAGTCCGGGACCTGGTACATAGTGTGGATGCTTCACACCGAGCCAACAATCGCTTCCCCCTTAAAGATTGATGGTTTACTGACTCATGCATAGTTCGTCAACGTACTCATGATGGCGCTGCTCTGCCCGAGACTATCTCTGTTGACGATATTGCTGACGAGCGCTACATGAAGCCCGTCATTGAAGACGACGCCTTGATCATGGCCCTAACTGAGCTGGATCTTGACGACGAAACGCCAGAGCATCCTCAGCAAGCGCCACAAGGGGGTGCCTCTCGGGAAGCTCAGCTTGAAGAAGAGTTGGCACAGCTTCAATCCCAGTTCGCAAAGTACCGCAATGCTGTTGAGCAGACTCTTGACCAGCGCTGGGGAGAAGACACACCCGTTCCAACCCGGGCCGAGAAGCCGCGTGACCCGGACAATAAGGGTGTTCGGAAGGACGAGTCTCAGTACTACTGGGAATCATATGCCTCTAACGGTAGCCGACGTTCATCCTGAATTCGGCTGCTTATTATGCTAACGTTCCTTCCCAGATATTCACGAGACGATGCTGAAGGACAAAGTTAGAACAGACTCTTACCGCGATTTCGTCTACAACAACAAGTCTCTGTTCAAGGACAAGATCGTGCTAGATATTGGCTGTGGTACCGGTACGTCTCGCACCAAAAGCGACTGCCAGCTTTGTGAACCTTCATACCTAAACTGTGATTTCTACGACAGGCATTCTGAGCATGTTCTGTGCCAAGGCCGGTGCGAAGCAGGTCTTTGCCGTTGACAAGTCCGATATCATCGACAAGGCCCGCGAGAACGTCTTCAACAACGGCCTCACCGACAAAGTTACCTGTATTAGAGGCAGGGTCGAGGATATCAGTCTTCCTGTCGATCAAGTTGACATCATCATCAGCGAATGGATGGGCTACTGCCTGCTTTATGAGGCCATGATGAACAGCGTTCTCGTTGCCAGAGACCGTTTCCTGAAACCCGACGGCCTCATCGCCCCGAGCATCTCCACCATCTGGGTGGCGCCCGTCTCGGATCCAGAGTACATCACCGACTTCGTTACCTTCTGGGATGACGTCTATGGCTTTGACATGAAGTCAATGAAGGAGGGCATCTACGATGAGGCTCGCATTGAGATCATGCCAGAGGACTGCATCTGCGGTACCCCCTCACAGATCTCATATATTGACCTGCACACCGTCAAGATCGAGGACCTCGATTTTGAGACCCAGTGGAAATCAAAGGTGACCAAGGACATTCCGTCACTTGACGGCTTTTTGACCTGGTTTGACATCTTCTTCACGACTTCTCGACACGATTCGATTCCGGCGGATCTGCAGGTCAAGGCCGGCGAGGCCAGTGTCACCAGACCTGGCGAGGTGGCCTTCACTACCGGCCCTGCAGGTCCTGACACTCACTGGAAGCAGGGTTTCCTGATGAACAAGTATCTTGAGGAGAACGCCAGTGTCACGGCCGGCACCGAGATCTCTGGGCGCATTGTCTTCAAGGCACCTGAAAATAACCCCCGGGCGCTGACTATCAGCAATACTTGGACAGTACCAGGCGAGGACAGCAAGACGCAACTGTGGAAACTCAGATGAATCAGTAACAGCCTCCAAATCCGCGATTCTGAGTCTCACCACCGACACGCAGATCACCGTTGAACAAAGACCAGAGATTGATGCTAAACGTTCAGAGGCGTTTGTCCTCAAGATGGACTTCTCATCCTGCCTACATGATGTCCGCCCTCTTGCAGGGTGTGATAGATCGCGGCTAGATGATTGTCCATATGCCAGCACGCCAATCGGAAATCTCGCCGGCGTGGTATCGTCTTCGGCGACATCATGATACTGGAAAGGAGGGCTGGGATGCGCACAAGCAGGCAGAGGCAAACAAGTTGGGTGGATGCTTAGTTAAGTCCCAACTTGGAAAAAGGCTTCTAGCCTCGGGATAGATAGAACTCTCAAGTATCAATGTCCTCTCATCCACGCGTGTGCATGTAGCTGATCATGATTAAGGATTTACAAGCATTGTGCTAATGGATCATGCGATTGACGTGCTTTTCGTGTCCTCTTTGTCGTCGTTGTTATCGTCGTCGTCTTCGTCTTCGTCTCTGTCTTCCTCCTCCTCCTCCTCCTCCTCCTCCTCGCTGTCTTCATCTCCATCTTCTTCGCCATCAGATACTGCTTCTCCCAGCTCCTTGAGTTTTGCCTTTTGTGCAATAAATTAGTCAGAGAGACTTACTCATGTCTTTGCTTTCGACTCACCTTGTACCTGGCTGCCTTCTCCTCTAGGTCGCCAAAGACCATGAGCAAATCATCAAGCTCGTTTTGAATTGCCTTCCTATCCTCCTGGGCCTTCTTGGTCGTAACATCGTACTGAGGACAAGGTCAGAATACATGCAAGTCTCTCAATGTCAAGCTTTCGGTAGTAAAATCTCGCACCTGGATAAACCTCTCTTGCGCCTCGCGTAGATTTTTCTCGAGCTGCTCCACACGGGCGTTGGCTCTAATGGCAAGATTTTCCTGGTCATGCTCCTTCTTCTCAAGCTGTTCCCGAATGGCTTGAATCTCCTGCGCCTTGGTCTTCTTGGCCTGTGAAAGGGTTAGCTTCACATTCAAGCAGTATCACGGTTACTTAGTCACCTTCATAAGATCAACCTCAAGACGACTTATGGTGGCCTTGAGATCTGCCATGTCCGCCTCCGCCCGGTGGCGAACACGATCGGCGTCCGACTCTGCTGTCTTGCGGACCTGCTCTAGCTGCTTGCGATGCTCCTCGGACTGCGAGGCGGCCTGGGCTTTGGCGGTCTGCCGTGCTTGCTCAGCCTTTTTTTCAAGCTCCCCCTCGAGCGCCCTAACGCGCGAAGCTGTGTTTCTCTGTACTTCCTCAAGCTGCCTCTTGTTCTGCTGCTCGAGAGCTGCGACGTGAGTGGCTGACCTCCGCTGTTCCTCTTCTAATCGCTTGCTGTATTGCTGTTCCAGAGCCGCATTTTGAGACTCAATCTTGCGGTTTGTCTGCTCAATCTGTTTTTTGTGTTCTTCCTGAAGGCTTGTGATTTTACTTTGTAGATTCCTAAAGAATTGGCTCGTTAGTGAAATCACTGAAAACTAACTGTCGAGACTTACCGTAGCTCTGCGTCGTGTTGTCTTTGCATTCCCTCGTTGACTTGATTGATTCTGGCCAATTCCAAAGCAGTGGTCTCCCGAGTTCGCCGGTGGTCGGCTTGTTCCTGGCCGAGTTGTCGACTGACCGTCTCCAAGCTGACCTGAGCCTCCTGCAAAGCTTGCTGCTTTTCAGCTAATTGACTCCGTAGTGAATCTACGAGTTCTCTGGACACTCCTGTCTGGACACCATTCTTGACCACGGAAATTTCCAAGCCGGGGTCTCGATCGATGCCACGAAGTATTCGGCTGTAGTTGTCCTTGAAGAAGTCGATGAATGTCGAGTCAAAGTAAACGTCTGGCAGACTGCCTAATCCGGAATTACTGAGATTCTGAGGAATAACCTCAAAATCCCTAACCAGCGGGTCGCTTCTCAACTTAGACAGCTTGTCGATGTATCGTTCGCGGCCCATCCGAGAAAGAAGAATGGAATGAAGGTCAGCTCGAGGAATTGGTGAGTCCTTTGTCGAGAACTCATAAAGAACGCCCAGCAGCATCGCGCAGAGACCCTGGACAAGGTCGCCAGTTGCGTATGGATGGTTTACTGCCTGTATAAGGCTCTGAGTGTTCGCTCCCTCTCCAAGAAAGTCGTTGACCGCATCCAAGTCCTCAAACATCCAGCAAAGGAGCAGCATGAGGTAGCCAACGACAACCCGGCTATCCTCGTCCCGGTTCAAGCAGGATATCAAATGAGCAGCAATGGTCTGGATACTCGTGACAACTTCCTCTCCGCTTTCAGCATCGCCTTCTGAGACAGCCATGACCAAGTTTTTGGCCTTTGGATTATCAAAAACCAGGTGCATCATGATTGTGGAGGCAAACCAACTTCGGTAAGGATTAGCGACGGCCGCGTCTGATGAAGGCCGCAAAAGCACCGTTAGGACATTGGCCGTCTCGTCAGCTCCCATGTCATGCCCCTCAATCGCTCTCCGCAGGAAATGTAAGCGAATGTCTGCATGATTGTGGAAATAAGCCTTGAGACAATCGCACGCGGCTAAACGTAAATCGAACGCCTCCAGATCCTGAACGCTGAGGGTGAGGTCCAAGAGACCATCAATCACGTAAACCTTGGCCACGCCATTGGCTTGCCCTGATCCGGCTGCCGAAGGCGATTCGAGAGGTGACGGGACTTCAAGCTGCGCGAATCCTTCTTGAAGGCTCGGGTTGCCCTTGATGATGTCGGCGCAGGTTACTAGAGCCTGCAGGCACCTTCTTAACATGATAGCACAAAGATCAGCGATGGGAGACAACCAACCTCGGCCTTGATTGGAAGCTGGGCTACATGGCTGAAGGCCAATTGTAGGGCGTGGAACAGCAAGCCATGTTGCCAAAAGGCAAGCTGGTTCTGCGGCGTCCCCACAGCCCCTGCTACTAGAAACAGACGAACGACAGCCAGAAGCGCGTATATGTTCCGGTCACGCTGGGCCTGCGCCCACGCTGCAATCTCTGCATCCACCCGCTGGGCCTTCTCTGCACCCTCTAGTAAAACAGACAAACGATGGATACCGCCCGATTCGCGGAACAGGGACTGATTTGATGGGTTCCTCCTGAGCAGGTTTGCGACTAGAATCAGGCAGTCCTCCACGACACGATCTCCTTCGGGAAGGGAGCCTTCTGCAGAAATGATGCCAAAGAGTCGATCAAAGGCATTCTCGAATGCCACGAGTTTCTGAATGTCGGTCGACGAGGGTGTGAGAAAGGTGAGGAGTGTAATGGCTTCGTTTCTGATGGCCTCGCGGCTGTCGTCTAGCACAGCGACAAGGCGAGATATTCCCAAAGGGGCAGTGAAAATGCACTCTTCTGTACGCTCGGTTCGGGCAGAAAGGATGGCAGCTAGCAGCTGGAGAGAGTATAGTCTCGAGTAGAAGTCGGTGGAGTCGAGGAAATCTAGAAGGAGCGTGATGTTCTCCTGGCGCTGTGTGAATTCATCAGCAAGCCACAGAGCGATCTCCTCCGAGGCTTCCGGACTGTCTTCGTTAGGACTGAAAAGCATGAGCAGGGTCTCGAGGACGACCTTGACAGTGTCAACATCTTCGGCATCTTTGCTCAAGCTGCCTATCAGACTGCGAAGAGCTCCAGAGGCAACAGAGGCAGGGAAGTCCTTTGCAAAGCTGCGCAAGCCGAGTATAGCAGCACGACGGTCTTCAAGAAGCGTGGCTGAGCTCAGCCGACCGCTCAGGACGGTGATGGTCTCACCGACCGACTGCTTCGCCGGTGCAGTGGAAATAGAAAACATGCTGTCTTTTTTAAGTGCCGGCCATCGGGAGCTAAAACAGACGGTGAGGATGAAAGAGAGAAATGCAACGTTAGAGACAAAAGGCTGTAGAGAGACGTGTCATGTAGAGATAGGACGAAGCATTGGAACAACCAGGTTGGGCTGCTGTTGTGGAGAGCTTTATTTCGTCGCACGACGAGAGGCCTAGGACTTTCTGCATCTACACACACGTATGAGGGATGTTTACGAAAGGTGTACTTTCATAGGTGCTCGTACTGATACAGAGATATTGAGTTTATATGCAATAATACGGCTGGATGCTCTCGTCACTGGAATAGCAAAAGACTGCTTAGCGCAGTATCGGAAATATCGAAGAAGCAGCACATCGCGTTGTGTACCTTAGTCATAGCGTTTGATGGAGCTTGAGATTAGTCAGGACCGGAGCAGTACTATGGTACCTTGCGTACCTTAGGCCGTGTGGATGTACCGAGCTGGCGGCAGAAGCGACGCTCGCCCAGATACATCAAATTGAGAAACAATGACCTCGAATCTAAGGTATTACATTTGACCGTGGCCCTCTTAAAGCCTGCGTTCAGTGTTTGCGCAACGGCACCCTGTCCGAATCCATTACAGTGCCTTGTCTCTTCCCACTTCAGAGAGAGATTGGTGCAGCACAAACCTGTAGTAGGCGCACTTTTGTCTCGTGCGCAAAGAAGTCTCGTAATTTTCATTCTTATTGCTGCACCACCTTCGTCTTCAATATCGATCCCGCGACTCCGATCCCGCGACTCTGAACCATCGCGTGCTACAGCATAACAACTTTTCCTCTCTCCCTCGGTTTGCGGACAAGCAAGCTCTCCCGAGCGGCCAGGCCCCAGCACCCATGCGTCACAATCTTCTCAATATATTCTTCTGCGACGCGAGAGCTACCTGCTCTCTTCACCCTGTGCCCGACGACCGTCGCCAGGAAATCAATCCATAAGCTCTGAATCTGCTTTGTTGTAGATACTTCGTCTATCAGAACACCCTTCAAGATGGGTATCCCAGCGGCTTTCCGATGGCTGTCAAACAAGTACCCCAAGATCATCTCCCCAGTCATCGAGGAGCAACCCGTCAAGATGGACGATGGATCAGAAATACCCGTCGACACAACCGGGCCTAATCCGAATGGCGAGGAGCTCGACAACCTGTATCTCGACATGAACGGTATCGTGCATCCATGTTCCCACCCCGAGGATCGCCCCGCCCCCAAGGATGAGGAGGAGATGATGCTTGAAGTTTTCAGGTATACGGATCGTGTTGTCAATATGGTCCGGCCGCGAAAGCTGCTGATGATTGCTGTTGGTTAGTTCTCCTCCCTATCATTAATTTCATGCGTCGATACCGTTACTAAACAAAGATTTCTTTTTTCTTAGACGGCGTCGCGCCACGTGCAAAGATGAATCAACAACGATCCCGTCGGTTCCGGTCTGCGCAGGAAGCCCAGGAAAAGGAAGAGGATAAGCAAGAGCTATTGAAGTTGTTGAAGCAGCAGAATGGTGGCGCAGTACCTGATGACACGCTCGAGGGCGTCACCAAGAAGGCTTTTGACTCCAATTCAATTACTCCCGGCACTCCCTTCATGGACATCTTGGCCTCGAGCTTAAGATACTGGTGCGCGTACAAGCTGAATACAGACCCGGCTTGGGCGAAACTTAAGATCATCATCTCCGATGCGACAGTCCCCGGCGAGGGAGAGCATAAGATTATGTCATTCGTACGATCTCAGCGCATCTCTCCCGACTACGACCCGAATACCCGACACGTCATTTATGGCCTCGATGCCGACTTGATCATGCTTGGTCTCGCAACTCACGAGCCTCACTTCCGAGTTCTACGTGAGGATGTCTTCTTTCAAGATAGCAAGGCCAAGATGTGCAAGCTTTGTGGGCAGAAGGGCCACGAGGCTCGCGCTTGTCGTGGGCAGGCCAAGGAGAAGGTTGGCGAATTCGACGAACAGGAGAAGAGTCCCACTTTGAAGCCCTTCATCTGGCTACACGTTCCCATTCTGCGGGAGTACTTGGCAGTAGAGCTTAATGTTCCAGGTCTGCCCTTCCGCTTCGACCTGGAGAGGGCCCTTGATGACTGGGTATTCATGTGCTGTTTCGTTGGCAACGACTTTCTGCCTCACTTACCGGCATTGGAGATCCGGGAGAACGGAATCGACACCCTGACAGCCATTTGGAAAGACAACTTGCCATTCATGGGTGGCTATGTCACCAAGGATGGTCACGTCGACTTGGGTCGAGCGCAGTACATTCTCAATGGCCTAGCGAAGCAAGAGGATGCGATCTTCAAGAGGAGAAAGGAGACTGAGGATCGTAGAGAGGCCAGCTTCAAGCGGAGAAAGCTTCAAGAGGAGCAGCGTAACCCCAGATTTGCCAAGCCGAAGCAAGTCGACGATGCGTCTGCTGGCTTGAGCTTGTTTGCGGTGGCAGGAGGACCAAATGGGATCACCCACGACAAAGTAGTTGGCCGGTCTTCTAATATGAACGCCAACACTGCCAACAAGAGTGCCGCAAGCGCTATACGGGACCAACTGAAAGGTTTGACGCCCAGGAATGAGATCAGCCAGGAAGACGACTCGGCGAAGGTCACGAAGGACGAGGTCCCCAAGCCAGCTGATGAAAATACCATACTGGGAAAACGCAAAGCTGAAGATGATACTGCAACAACGGCCGATTCCGCCGCGGCCAGCGCAAAGGGCCCCGGCACGTCGTCCGCTGCCGAGGAGGCTGCGGTGGATCATGTCAGAATGTGGGAAGAGGGTTACGCCGATAGATACTACGAACAAAAGTTCCATGTTGATCGGAGCGATCTCGAGTTCCGGCACAAGGTTGCGCAGGCTTACGTGGAGGGCCTGTCGTGGGTTTTGCTGTACTACTTCCAGGGCTGTCCCTCATGGGAATGGTATTACCCATACCATTACGCGCCCTTTGCTGCAGACTTTGTCGATCTTGATAAGATGGATGTTCATTTTGAAAAGGGGCGGATTTCGAAGCCGTTTGAGCAGTTGATGAGTGTGCTGCCAGCAGCCTCTCGCCACGCGTTACCCGAAGTCTTCCATGAGCTTATGCTGAATGAAGATAGCGATGTGATCGACTTTTACCCGTCAGATTTTGAGATTGATCTAAACGGAAAGAAGATGGCATGGCAGGGAGTAGCATTGCTGCCGTTTATCGAGATGCCAAGACTGCTCGCCGCCATCGAGACGAAGTACCCTCTCCTGAGCGAGGCAGATCAGGCACGAAATGGTGTCGGAAGGGACGTGTTGCTCTTATCAGATGCTCACCACGAACTGTATGATGAGATCACCACTGGTTTCTACTCGAAGAAGCAGGGAGCGCCGACACTCAAGCTCAGCCCACGGACCAGTGACGGTTTGGCTGGCAACATCGAGAAGATTCCTGATTATCTGCCTCACGGAGAGTTAGTGTATCCCCTGGAGCGCGGAGGAATGCCAAATCTCGACTACGACAGGTCTCTGAGGTAAGTTGATCTCATTAATATTGTAGACTGTTAATTGCCGCGACTAACGATGAAGCAGAGTATGGTATACGTTCCCAGAAAGTTCGCACCCTCACAAGTCGATGCTGCTGCGTGGCGCCAAGCCTCCGGCTCCAGCTCTAGATCGCAACGACATCGAGACTTTGAAGGGTAAGTCGGCGCGAGGCGGGCGTGGCTACGGCGGAGCCCCCTTTCAACGCGGCGGTGGACACCACAATGGCGGTCGGAGGGGGGGGCAGTTCAGCTACGCTCCTGATGGCGGACAGGGTCGCCAAGACCGAGGGCCGCCCTCTTACGGAAGTAGTGGTGGTCATGGACGGCAGGGATTCCAGTCGTCAGGGCCACCGCCCATCCAATCATCGTGGCAACCTCCCCCTCCCGGGCACCCTGGGTTCGGTATGGGTCTTCCACCGCCACCCCCTCCATCGGGGTATGGAAACGATGGGCGAGCATCCAACGGTTCCTACCGCGGAGGAGGCTACAATCAGCACCAGAACTACGGGCCCCCGGCACCAGGGCCGCATTCGCAGTACAGCTATCCCGACGGAGGTCGGCAAGGAGGTCGTGGGGGCTACCAGGGCCGCGGGGGCTATGGTGGTGGACGCGGCAGCGGCGGCGGAGGTGGAAGTGGCAGATATGGCGGCGGCCGCAATTATTACTGATGTTTCGAGGGGTGTTGCTGTCAGATACGAATGTTCCGACCATTGAAGCGCACCGAGAACTTTCTCTTCACGACAAAAGCAGGAGGGTTGGCAACACAAAAAGGGTCATCGGTATCAGCCGCATAGCGTACGAATAGTGTAAATGGGCGGGCATTGTAAACGCGTTGCCAGAGACGTGGCGTGTTGCTCCAAAGAGCGAATTCCTGCTTGGTAGCGTGGATAGTGCCACAGGTACATGTACGTCAACATCATTGTGGCAGCAGTCCTTGCTTGTCATCCTCAGCCTGTTTCTAGCAGTATTCAACGATAAGGCACAGTAAAATAAAACGACCCTACATTATGCTTGGCCGTTCAACTCAGTGGAGATGATGCCTGTTTCGGCCGGAGTCATGAAGCGGCAAATAGCTGATGTTGTACTGTTGAAGCCCCAGGTTATGCTGTCGAAGCTCAAGTTGAAACCGCTGAGGCCTAAGATTCTATTCCAGCGTAAGCACGCAGGTAGGCAACCTGGCATCCCCGCCGGCACTCGCATTTAGGTTGACGTCCAGGCAAAGGGTCCACGCGGGTGACAAAATCATCCGCTGGACCTCTCAAGCTCTCTCTTTTTACCCAAGGCCTATTCAGCACTAGATAAGTTAGGATACCTAAGACAAGACTACTATTAAGAGAAAATTAATCAATGTATTTTTTTGAATATTTTGAAATGAATTTATCTTATTTAGTTGATATTAAAGGGGCATATTTTGGCCTAGGAGGCAGGAGGATGAATCTGTCACCCGCGTGGAGCCATGGTACCATGGCCATGGGTACGAAGTCAGGGACAGGTTGAAGTTCACTGGCTGCCGCTCGGCTTCAGACCTGCTGCCCCACACCACCTTCCCGGGCTCAGATCCCACCGCAAGCTTCCAGGATGATGCAGAAGCAACGGATTGCACCAGAGCTCACGTAGTATCCAGTCATTGCCTTACTTAACTCTCAGTGCCCCAACTTAGATCAAACTGCCGCCCTGAGGTAGATGGGATCCAGAAGGAGATGGACTGGTTCGGTGTCTCTGGCATCCCGTCCGCTTCTTCTACTAAAGGTACCTTTTACCAAGGCGCACGTAAGGCAAGCACGGCAAGGTGGCTCAGTAGGTACGTATAGCAATTACCTTTAAAATACCGAAGCTACGACCGACTATCCGTACCTTAGCTTTTGAAGAACCTTGGCATCCCATCCCGTTCCGCGCACACCAACCCCACTCGCTTCGAAAGTACTCCGTACCGCTGAGACGTGACATTGGCTGCGTTGTATGGCGTTTCGTGCAGACCGGATCTCAACTTTAGAGGTTATAATTGTGTCCCTATCGCGCCTTGAGGTCCTTTGAGCGGTCGGTAGGTAAGGTAAGTGATAATGTAGATGATTCAAGGTCGATACATAGGTACCCAAGTGGATGACAAAATGGATTTCCTTCCCATACGTCTTGAACAAGTACCCCTTTTACTACCCGTATCAAAATTACTACCCCTTCTGTATCACAATCCTTCTTTATATATGTAAAAGAATATACTATATCTCACAGATAGTAGTCCTCGTGATAATAGCGGTGGAAACTGCTTTGTCGGATGTGCTCGATCGGAAATCGATTTTGTCACCCACTTGGTACCTTGAGTAGTGCTACCTACCTAAAGTAGGTACGGATACTGAGACTAAGGTACTGTAGGTATTTGGATCGTGGATCATGGACAGTGCCCGGTCTGTCACCCTCTTATGAGACAGAATCGTCTCACTTTCCCGTCCACTCCACGTCCACTTGCTCATTCGTGCTGAGGTGGGTCTCCTTGGAAGCCAAGCTCAGTGGAAGTCCAGGTATCAATATCCGTACGGCCACATGGCGCAATGGGAAGGTCAGGCCGCTGTCAGGTAAGGTAAGGTACGGTTCAACACGCATTGCTGAGGTACCTAAGTATCTGTACCTCGAAAGGCGACTAAACCCATCTTAGGTAAGGTAGCAGCTGTCCTTGGGCCAGACGACGCTATCAGTGCTGCGAGTACAGTGCTACCCCTCCACCATCTCCCTCCTGACATGGACGACCATCAAATGCATGCAGGTGCGTCTTTCGCCTTTTTTTCCACCTCAATATATTTCTTCGCCTACCTATCTACCTTACCTACCTACCACAAGGACCGAGTAGAAGAAGGCGTGCCATTTGTCACCGCAGCAAACCAAAACAGATGCTGGTTCAACGCATCAAACCGCTCTCTGTCGCCTAACGCGACTCCTCAGTCCCCTTAGGTCCTTTGCCTTAACTTGCCTTCCACCACAGGTCAGCGCATCATCGTTCGCTCTCCTGCCCGGCTACCTCCCTTCGCGTACTACGACTGCGACGACGAGCCAATTGGCCCTCCCGACCCAGCGATACCTCGGCTTTGCGCTCGTAGTCCGTCGCCGTCGACCTCCACTGTAAACAATATCTACGACGACTCCATAACCACAAAAGCCCCGTCGCAATACTCGGCCAAGTCACCACGCTACTTGAGCTTGAGGAAGGCGCAGAACTCTGAGGACGTGCGCGTACGGTCATGAACTTTATCGTTTTGGAGCGCAGACATGAACGGCGATGCTGGTCTCGTCGGCTGCCTGGTCGATAGGCTTGCCACCAGAGTAAGTCGCTCCTTTCTTTCCTGCTAGACCTTGATCATGAAAGGCGACGCGCCCCCCCCCCCCTTCTCCCTCTTCCTCTTCCCAACTCGCTTGCGTATCCTGGCTCTTGGAGACTTGACTGACCATCTTTGCGCCCCTCTCAGCTACCTCACAGAACGGGAACTCATGGACAGGAGCTTCAACAGGACGACGTTGTCCTCATCACGAGGTCGACGCTTGTCAAGATCAGCACCTCGGCCGTCGCCTTTGTTCTCGATTCCCTCATTGCACTGCTCGAAGACATAATACGAAACTACAAAGGCCTTCCTCCGCCCGCCCACCCTCCTCATGTGCTCCTTTCCGAAGTTTACGTCCTTGCCCTCGCTGCCGACTGCTGCACCGCCCATTGGGACCAAGTCAAGGCACAAGGCATACGTCAGCCTTCTGCCGATGCAGACACTCGTCGTGTTACCTCAGCAAACCTCGCAAACGTTCCCGAGCCGTTAGACGAAGCCCTTGTCAATCGCGTCTTTGACTTGGTCAGATGGCTTGTTGAACCCATTCCCGAGGGCTATGTCTTACCCTCATCTACCATTCTAGACGATACCTCGAGACACGCCGACTCCATAGCCCGCTCCTCGGGCGGGCTTGCCTCGCCGCTCCCCGGTGATGCTGACGCTGCCGAGGACGACGAAACCCTGCCCACTACCCAATTAGCCGTGTTGGAACCTTGCATTAGAATCATTGTGGAATACGTCACGGCCTCTACATGGTCTTGCTCTTTTGACTACTTCAGGAACGTCGTATATACCGTTCGCACTGCAGCTGTAGTGCAAGCTGCTCCCGGTCAGTCGGCCGCTACTCCCGACGACGACAAGGCCTCCCTGGCGGTGCTTAAGATCCTGTCCTTCTTCTGGGTTGACGCCCAAAAGCTGGGTCTAATAATCCAGGAGATATGCTCCAGCTTCCTGCATTTCCGCAAATCCTTCCAAAATACCGTTGCTGTCGTCGCCCCCTTGCTAGTCACCAGGTGGCTTGATCGCTACCCACATGAATTTGTGCAGCAGCACACTTTACACAGGCGTCTCGACGGCGGCGCCGATACTCTGTTTGACATGACACAGACGGTCGTTGACAATGGTCGCAAGAAAGGGGTTCTATACCCTTTGCAGACCACGTTGTTATTCCTACTACCCGATGTTTTCGAGGTGGCTAGTAATCTCCGCGAGGCTAAGAGTAGCAGTATGGCTAAGAAGGTCGGCTTTCTAGACAACTTAAGAAAGGCCCTGAGGAACAAGAACGAACAGGCTGCTTACTCGCTGGTGTCCCTCTTGAGGGCATCTCGCCACTTCGTTGCCGAAGACGATGCCGCATTGGTGAGCTACGCCATGGATGTGCAAGACGAGGTCCGCGAGGCTGTCTTTCGGCGCGGCAACGAGTCCTCCTTATTTGATCAAGACTTGATGACAGCTGCGTTTGTCAGCCTCGCTGAACTGAGTCTAGAAAGTTGTGTCGATTCACTAAGAGAGTCATATCTCGGCCTCTCTTCCCCGCAGGCTTTCAAAACTGCCGTCGTCCAAGGCTGCCGTTACTTTGCCCGTCAAAACGACTCACATGTTTATGAGCAGCTTTTCGCTGTCGCGGGACCCTTCATGCGGACGCAGCTCAAGGTACGTCTAATGGACATCAACCCCCTTTGTATTCGCACCCTATCGCATTCCCTCTGTAGGCCAGGTTGGTGACCTAGGTAGCAGGCTGTTGCGGACTTGCCAGCAGAAGCTACAGCCGTAGCTCTGGCCCTACCGCGCCGCGACTCGAACCTACACTCGTTCACAAATATGGCATGCGATGTTCTTAAGTTTTTAGATGCTTCGCCCCGTTCTCTGTTCGACGGCGACAGCCAAAGCGATACGGTTACCGGCGCCGCTGACGAGGATGTGTTCTTGTCCTTTCTCTCATGTGTCGTGTCCGCCAACCCGACCATTAGGAGACTCGCCACAGGTGTTGCGAAGCGTCTCTTCTCTGACAGCTCCATCATTGACACACTTCGTTCCCGTGGCAGACTGAGTTCTGTAGCACTGAAAAGGGAATTTTGGAGACGCAGGTATGAAGACCGGTGACTTCCCGAGTCTTTTCAAATATGAAGATGGACTAATGTAAGCTCGAGCAGCTCTCTGGTATTACTCAACATGTGCAATGATGTCACATCCGATGGCAACGGTTCGGAGGTGAAGGCCATTCATGAATACCTAGAAGCCCGGAAGTTCTTGCTGGCGTCGCTGCGGGTAAGTTGAACAGACTTAGTTACAAGCGCCCGTCAAACTAACAAACCTTGCTTTGTCCCAGGAGCTCTCTGATATGCCCGAAGGCGTACCCGAAATAGAGGCAGCATCCTCCAGACTTGAAACGACGCTCCTAGTCTCCTTATGTTCAGCTGATGTCGAAACCTGTCAGACCGTGACCTCGTGCATAGGCCTCTTTTTCGAAGAGAATAACCTTGTGGACATCACCTCTGACACAGCCAAAGTATTTGCCTCACTGCTACGCAATGGCGAGGTGTACGGCGAGATCGCCTCTCGAGCGTTCCGATTCACAGGGCTCGTGGCTTTTCAAAAGAGGGTTCGCGGCTTACTCCGCCGGTTACAGTATCCTACGAGCGGCATCCTTTCGGCCTGGGAGTATGGTTTCGAACGATGGCTCCTTCTTTCGAGAGAGGTTTCAATGGCACCTGTTGATGCTGTCGATGAAAGAACGCTGACTGAATGGCGAAACTACTCGGGATTCCTCGCATCTCTCGGGGGAATATGCACGGCGAACCAGACCATTATCCTGGAGGAGCCAGCACTGAACGGCCTGAGGTGGATTGATAAGCTCTCCTCAGAGAACCATGAAGAACCCTTATTGAGCAGATATCTGAAGTTGAGCATCCAGCTTCTTGGATGTGCAAGCGTCAGGATCAGAGAAGCAACCAGGGAGGTTTTATCAAGTGAGGTATCATCCACACTTTACCAAGCTCTCTTCAAATCTCTCGAATCTGAGCTTGAGGTCTTGTTCACCGGTGCACTGGCGCCGAGTGACAAGGCACAGGATGTCGAAATTATATTTGCCGAGCAAGCCATTTCTCTTCTGAAAGCGCTCGTGGAACGGCTCGAGAGCCCTTCGGACCTCGGTGCCGCTTCAGCCATACATCTTGGTGCTCTCGCACTCAATTTCGCGAAGTTCCTCGACGGTATCGCTGATAGCACCAATACCCTCCGAGTCAAGATCAAGGTCTGCCAGCTGTGCGAGGCCGTGACGAAAAGGAAAGAACACTTGAACCTCAGAGATGACGTGCGGATCCGAAATCAGCTCCTGGAGTACATCTTTGGCTGGATTGCTCGGCCGCGGTCTCCGCGTCTTGACCCAAGTACCAGCTCAAGTGGCCGTCTAGACGAAGTCGTGAGAGTGCAGAAGGACCTGGACAAGGCTTGCTTGAAGTCCCTGGCCGAACTCACTTTCCGCCTCCCCTTGCAACCTGGCGAGGGCCAGACCGACGCTGGTACGAGTGAGCTCAAGTCACAGATGTTTCATACCTATTTCAACAGATTCCTTTCGCTACTCAACCACGAATCTCTTGAAGGCGGGAGGAACGATTTGCTGGCAGGAATTTCCAGTCGCGATGAGGGTGGATCTTCGTCAGAATTTGCCATCACCATTCTCTCGAATCTGTTGAGTGCTAATATCGACGTCGGCCTGAAGCACTCTCTTAATATTGGATACCATGACAATGTCGAGATCAGGACAGCCTTCGTCAAAGTCCTTTACAACATCCTCATTCAGGGGACAGAATTCAGCAACCTGACAGACGCTGCCGTCAGCGAGAAGTATGACGAATTACTCGAGGTAAGCAAAGCTGCGTGGTTCCATGCTGAATCGGTGGTGCATTATCTAATACGGTCTACAGCTCCTCACCAAAGACATGACGTTGGTAGCAGCGATGAGCGCTGTGTGCCCAAGCAGCGAGGTTGACGAACTGACCGTCTCCCTGCTGACAATCTTCGAACATCGTGGTCTCAGCTTTGAACTGCTAGAAGTTCTCATCAAGCAAGAGATCGAAGAAACAGGTGAGACCGGCAGTCATCACTCTTTCCTGGAAAAACCCCTTTCAATTAACAATCTATCCAGACAACGAATCAGAGATATTACGGCGGACGTGCGTCGCAACCAAAATGCTTTCCGTCTACGCTAAGTGGAAGGGACAACCGTACCTCAAGGCGACACTGCAAAAGGTCGTCGAGAGGTTGATGTTGACTTCAAAGGACCTAGATCTTGAGTTAGACCCGGCTCGCGTGAGTTCTACAGATGAACTCCAGAAGAACGCCCTCCAGCTGCGTATTGTAGCGAAGGTATTCATCGACGACATTTGTGCATCATCCTCGACCATGCCAGCCTCATTCCGCAGAATATGCAATATTGTGCGTCTACCGATTGTCAAATCCCTTGTACTGCGTACTAACAAGAGTCAGATCTCTGCTGCCGTACTTCCACGATTTCAGGAGGCTAAGTACACCGCTGTTGGAGCATTCGTTTTCCTTCGATTCTTCTGCCCAGCCATTGTTGCGCCTGAAGTCGAAGGCTTAGTTACCAAGACACCGTCAAAGGAGATGCGACGAGGGCTCCTTCTCATCGCGAAGGTCATTCAGAACTTGGCAAACAATGTTCTGTTTGGAGCCAAGGAGCCCTACATGTTCCCCTTGAATGACTTCCTTACTCAGAACATCTACAAGGTCACAACTTTCTTGCGCGAGATTTCTGTGAGTAGCCCCATCAGCCCGCGCGACGCAGTTCTTTTTAGCTTAAAAACTGATTTTGACTGTGTGCTAGGTGCCTCCAGAGAACCTCGAAACTCCTCCCACTATCGAATCATTCGACTTCGGATCTTGCGTTGCGCTACATCGGTTTCTGTATGACCACTGGGATCACATGCGCCAAAGACTTGTCACTCAAGAACGGAAGGACTTCGTACGGTCGCCCGCTGAGGTGTCCCGGGGTCGGTCGCCTGTTCTCGAGCCTTTGCGCAATCTCATCACGAATTTAGGCCCCCCGCCCTTGGCTGTAACTTGGAACAGACCACAAATTTCAACAAACACTCCGCCCTCATACTCAAGATTTCAAAATTTTATGCTTCGAAACGCATTTCGGAGTACTGAATCCTTTATCACTGCTAGAGCCGTCTACGACGGAGGTGAAAGCAAGGTACTGTCTTACCCTGGAGCAGCTTCTCCCAAATATTGCTAAGTGCATCTTATAGGACTCTCTTTCCATAATTTGCATCATCCTACGACACATTGATGCAGAGAGCATAGACTACGATACACTCTTGTACTGCTACCTAAAGGTAAGCTTCAAACTCATATTAGATCTATCACCCCTTCGCTTCGATGGATCGACCACTCCATTTGGCCATAAGGAGTGCTTCTTTTTCTTCAGCGTCTGTTCTAATCAATCCTGTCCTCGTCTAGATCGCAAGTCGCCTATGGCATAAGCCCTTCGGCCTGCTCATTGACGCCACTTGCTACAATGGGCAAAACGAACCCCAAGACGAGCTCTTTAAGAAACTTGAACAGCTTACACCCGTGGAATTGTCACGGAATCTTGTCAGAGTATATGTCTACAACATGAATAGCGCCTTCAGGTAAGGATCAATGAGGCAGAATATGCAATGTGTATCCCATGTTTCTACGTCAGATCCGCATAGCTAACGTACAGAAGGAAATGCTTTCGGCGACTTCTACGAGTGTCTGCCAAGAGCGATAACAGTGTCTTCAATCCGAAAAATGTCGACTACCACTTGATTGGTAGCCTTCAAGATTTGCAGGCTCATTTTCATCTCAGCCAACTTCATCTACCGAAAGAGACAATCAGCGTTGTCACAGATACCCGATACGTGTTTCAACCCATCACCCGACTGTCCAAGACAAAGGGTAAAATTGAGGTTGTCATCAAGGTTGGCAGCCAATTTGTCCAGGTCACAACCACCAAGAAACAGGAGGTCTTCCCTGGCTATAGGCTGAGCACGACTGTGAACGACATCTTCAGGTTAGGCGAAGTGGAAGAAGCTCCTACGTCAATACAGACTGAGGATGACTCGGCCTTTGGTCTGCGTGCAGATAATGGCAAGATTGTCATGTACTTCACCAGCCCTAAAAAGGCTGATGTGCTCCAGACAATACGCGGCGCAAAAGCCAAGTATGGCAAGGATACAAGAGCGCACAAGGCCTACGAACGATTGATCCGTCCACAGGATGTTCCGGGCACCTTGTTGAATCTAGCCTTAACGAACCTGTCAAGCTCTGATCACGTTCTCAGACTATCGTCCTACAATCTTCTTGGTGCTCTTTGTAAGGCCTTCAAGTTCGGCGCGGCTTCGAACTTGATGTGCACCAAAGGTATGTTGCAAAGTCAAGTGAATGTGGGAGGTGAAGTTCCGCCAGAATTCAGCTGCTGACCACTACAGATGTTTCCGTACCCATGGACCCGTCCCATTTCATCATCAAGATTAGCAGGCAATTGGCAACGTCCGAACCTCAACTGACCTTCGATTTTTTGACCGAGTTCTTCGTCGGATGGGAGACCTTTACTGACGAGCAGAAGCCGCTCAGCCTGGCATATATGGCTCCATGGCTGCCCGGCTTACGCACTGGGGTTTTGGCAAACGAATCCGATGCCGAGAAGGGAAAGGAGAAGATTGCAGCATTATTTCGCAAACTCATAGATGTGGCCATGTCAGATCACGGGCTTACGTATACGCTTGAGCAAGCTGTCTGGCCCGCCATCTACCAGGATGAAACAATACTCGACATTTTCCTTGAGGAGCTCATGAGAGCAGCTCTAAGCTTTGGATTCTCTGAGGAGCCTATGGAAGCTCTGTCATCAATCGTCTCCGGTATGGGAAGCATCACCCTGCGTGGTAAGGTGATTTCCCGGCTACGCAAGGCGTTGAATCGGTCCTCCCTCAGACCTACGAAGTACTTGCCTGACAATACAGTGTGGGCCGAGATCTGCGTTTTACTTCATTTCTGTTTGTCATTGTCGTTCGATAATGGCGTGCAGTCCCAACTATACCTGCCAGAAATATTTCACATCGTCACAATCTTGGCCAACACAGGTGCTCCGGAGGTTCGCTTGCTAGTGCATAGGCTTCTTGTCAACACTGTGCACGCAGCTTGCACTTCTTTCAACCTAGACGAAACTCGGTTCAACAAGCTCAGAGGTAGTTTAGACTTCCTCAGTGAGCCCAGGAGCGAGATATTCTCAACACCTCCCCCATTCCTACGCGATGGAGCCTCCATGTCGACTACACAGGATGCTGGGCCTTCGCTGGCCGCCACTGAGAACCTAGCGGCAGTCTTGTTTGAGGTCTGCTCGGTAGCAGCGCCATCTATCGACATCTCCAATGCCTGGAGGTCACGCTGGATGAGTCTGGTGGCCAGCACCGCATTCCAAAACAACCCAGCTATTCAACCCCGCGCTTTTGCCGTCATGGGCTGTTTGGCACGAGAGGAGGTGGATGACGACTTGCTCTACCAAGTGCTTGTCGCTCTACGTAATAGCGTCGGCCGCTTAGGAGACGACACGAACAGCGACATGCTTATTTCCATTGTAACTTCTCTGTCGAAGATGATGGCAAAGCTCCCGTCGGCATCTCGTTATGGTCTGCAGCTCTTCTGGCTGGCCATCTCCCTTCTAAGACTTGTACCTCCGGCCTTATTCAATTGTACAGCGCAATTCCTGGAGGCCGTTATGACTAACATCAGCACTGTTGGTGATCTCAGAGGCGACAAGATGGGTCCTCTCCTTCTACAGGGCCGTGTTCAGCTCGAAGAGGCTGCTCTGCCTCTAGATGACGCATACGGCATCCACTTCACGCCTGAGAACTTCCATTTCGCAGTCTGCGCTTGTCTCGCTCGTGGTCTTGCGGACACTACCACGAAGACGAATGCCATGCGAGTACTCTCGGCTTTCCTAGACATGGCCGGCAATCCTGCCAGTGACGCTGGGAGCCCGTCTGATGACTTATCTCGGTCGCCTTACATGGCTCTCATCCTCGCACGAACGGTCGAGAGCGATGAGCTCAGGGACAGTCTATGGCTTGCGGGTATTGATCCTTCCCTTTTACGAGATATCACTGGCCAGCAGAGATACGATGATCTCGGCGGCATGAAGGATAAAGATCTCCTCCTGAATACGGCCATCGAGTTGATTGACTTTCAGTACTTGGAGGATGCACTGCAGAACCGGACATTGCAGTGGCTGACGGAACTAGCAGCAGCCAGGCCGTCTGTGATCATGCACCTGTAAGCTATTAACTCTTCTTTCTCATCTGAGCGGACTCTTGGACTGATTGAATCACAGCTGTGGGCCTATTGTTTCTATCCTGGACGATGTGCTTCTGCATTGCCAGAATTCGTCGACTTTAGAGTCTGCGCAAGACTTGCTGCATGCACTCACGTCAAATCCGAAGTTTAGCACAGCGCTAGAGTCCACAGCCGTCTTGAATGAGATTCTTGAGGATATGGGTTTCAGCGGGTTATGGCGTTCGTGTTCGTTCAACTTCAGCCAGGACCAGGATAGGAAATGTTTTCTTCTGACTGAGAAGCTAATCGAAGTAAGTCATTACTACCTTACTGACGCCATACTAGGGACAAAAGTGCTGACAGTCCTAGCTTATCATAGTGTAGTTAGTAGGAATGACTCTTGGAGGCAAAGCGATGATGTTCCATGGAGAGACGTTTCTGAAACCTTAATACGCATAAAAAATGAAGAAGAAGAAGAGTAAAAGAAAGCTGTAATTAAAGTAATGCTTCTATAACTACCCGTCTCTCCTCTGAACGGGCTGCCTACCAATGAGACCTCTCGATCATTACTAGCCACTTTCAGCCACAGGAGGCACGCCACCCGAAGCTCACCCTACAAGGGCCCAGAAGACCGGCTAGCATCACGATTCTGTATGCATAAGGAAACGGAGAATATTGGTTTATCCAGTTCTTTATCTCTTATCGGGCTGAAATGGCGAATGATATGCAAGTGTAGGTCAGCTGTGTACCTTTAGGTAGGGCAGGTAGGTCAGCCGTACGGAGCATCCGTACCTACCCATGTGGGTCTATAGCTTTTCTCCACCAGTCCAAGACAGATTTGCCGCAGGCCCGTATGAACCCGACCACCTACTCCCGAGGACCGACAAAGTTCCGTCCTTGCTTGCCTCCTTTCATCTTTTCCATGCTCATCCAGCTCACGGCGACGTACTCCATCCACCACCGCCCTATCCGCCACCATGTTGCGAAGCTCTGTGTACAGAGCCGGCACTCGGGTGCTTCACACCTCAAAACCTACAAGCTCATCATCATGCTTCTCTACCATCGCGTCGCGAACCTCAACGAGGAAGCTCGCTGCTGCCCGTCGCCCCCTGGCCTTAACCAGCCAACGTCACTACGCGAGCGCGACCGACAATGCACCCAACCCCAACGATAACTTCCTATCCGGCAACACTGCCAACTACATTGACGAGATGTACATGCAGTGGAAGCAAGATCCCAAGAGCGTTCACGTCTCATGGCAGGTCTACTTCAAGAACATGGAGAACGGCGACATGCCCATCGCCCAGGCTTTCACTCCTCCCCCTTCTCTGGTTCCTGGTGCCATTGGCGGCGTTCCAGCACTCGGCGCTGGCCTCGGTCAGGGCTCTGAGATCACAAACCATCTCAAGGTCCAGCTTTTGGTTCGCGCCTACCAAGCTCGAGGCCATCACAAGGCTAACATCGATCCCCTTGGGATTCGAAACGAGTCTCAGGGCTTCGGTAACATCAAGCCTAAGGAACTGACTCTTGAGCACTACCAATTTTCTGAGAAAGATCTTGACGCCGAGTATGAGCTTGGGCCTGGCATCTTGCCGCGCTTCAAGAAGGATGGCCGCGAGAAGATGACTCTCCGCGAAATCATTGATGCTTGCGAGAAGATTTATTGCGGCGCCTACGGCATCGAGTTCATCCACATTCCCGATAGAGAAAAGTGCGACTGGCTGCGTGAGCGAATCGAGGTCCCCCGACCTTTCAAGTACTCCATCGACGAAAAGCGCCGCATCCTCGATCGTCTCATCTGGAGTTCCAGCTTCGAATCCTTCCTTGCCACAAAATACCCGAACGACAAGCGTTTCGGCCTCGAGGGTTGCGAGACTCTCGTCCCCGGTATGAAGGCGCTGATCGATCGCAGCGTTGACTACGGCGTCAAGGACATCGTCATCGGCATGCCTCACCGTGGTCGTCTAAACGTTCTAAGCAACGTCGTAAGAAAGCCCAACGAGTCAATCTTCAGCGAGTTCGCCGGAACTGCCGGCGCTGAGGACGAAGGCTCCGGTGACGTCAAGTACCATCTTGGTATGAACTTCGAGCGCCCTACACCCTCCGGCAAACGCGTCCAGCTTTCTCTCGTCGCCAACCCCTCTCACTTGGAGGCCGAAGACCCCGTTGTGCTCGGCAAGACCCGCGCTATCCAACATTACAACAATGATGAGAAGACGCATCGCACAGCCATGGGCGTTCTGCTCCACGGTGATGCTGCCTTCGCTGCCCAAGGTGTTGTCTACGAATGTCTTGGTTTCCACTCTCTTCCTGCCTTCTCTACTGGCGGTACCATTCACCTTGTCGTCAACAACCAAATTGGCTTCACCACCGATCCCCGATTTGCCCGCTCCACAGCTTACTGCACCGACATCGCCAAGGCCATCGACGCACCCGTCTTCCACGTCAACGCCGATGACGTTGAGGCTGTCAACTTTGTGTGCCAGATGGCTGCCGACTGGCGCGCTGAGTTCCAGCAAGATGTAATTGTCGATCTTGTTTGCTACCGAAAGCACGGTCACAACGAGACCGACCAGCCCTCTTTCACCCAGCCTCTCATGTACAAGCGCATCCAGGACCATGAGTCCCAGATTGCCATTTACGTCAACAAGCTTCTCGAGGACGGCAGCTTCACCAAGGAAGATATTGAGGAGCACAAGCAGTGGGTCTGGGGTATGCTGGAGGAGAGTTTCTCCAAGTCCAAGGACTACCAACCTACCTCCAAGGAATGGACCACCTCCGCGTGGAACGGTTTCAAGTCTCCCAAGGAGCTTGCGACTGAGGTCCTTCCTCACAACGAGACAAGCGTGGACAGCAAGACTCTAAATCACCTTGGCGAGGTCATTGGCAGCACCCCCGAGGGCTTCCAGCCTCATCGCAACCTCAAGCGTATTCTGTCTAACAGGACCAAGTCTGTCGTCGAGGGCAAGAACATCGACTTCCCCACTGCGGAAGCCCTTGCCTTTGGTTCCCTCGTCACTGAGGGCCACCACGTTCGTGTTTCTGGTCAGGATGTTGAGCGTGGAACTTTCTCTCAGCGCCATGCTGTCTTCCACGACCAGGAGACCGAAGACACCCACACTCCTCTACAGCACGTCAGCAAGGACCAGGGCAAGTTCGTCATCTCCAACTCATCGTTGAGCGAGTTCGGCGCTCTCGGTTTCGAGTACGGCTACTCTCTGTCTTCTCCCAATGCTCTCGTCATGTGGGAGGCCCAGTTCGGTGATTTCGCCAACAATGCGCAGTGCATCATCGATCAGTTCATCGCTTCGGGTGAGGCCAAGTGGATGCAAAGAACTGGTCTTGTGGTATCTCTGCCCCACGGATACGACGGCCAGGGTCCAGAGCATTCTTCTGGTCGTCTCGAGAGATGGCTACAGCTGAGCAACGAGGACCCTCGCGTCTTCCCCTCCCCTGAGAAGTTGGACCGCCAGCACCAAGACTGCAACATGCAGGTCGCATACATGACTAGCCCCTCCAACCTGTTCCACATCCTCCGCAGACAGATGCATCGTCAATTCCGCAAGCGTAAGTTTACTCTGATCATGCCATACTTGTAGTTCTTCTTGCTCATATTCACTAGCTCTCATCATTTTCTTCTCCAAGGCTCTGCTCCGCCACCCATTGGCTCGCTCCAACATTGAAGAGTTCTCTGGTGACTCTCACTTCCGCTGGATCATCCCCGACCCGGAGCATGAGACTGGCGTCATCAAACCTAAGGAGGAGATTGAGCGCGTGATTCTCTGCTCTGGCCAGGTTTGGGCTACTCTATCCAAGTACCGCGCCGATAACAAGATCGACAACGTTGCGTTCACCCGCATCGAGCAGCTGAACCCCTTCCCCTGGCAACAACTGAAGGAGAACCTCGACCAGTACCCCAACGCCAAAACTATCGTCTACTGCCAAGAGGAGCCCCTGAACGCTGGTGCTTGGAGTTTCGTCCAGCCTCGCCTGGAGACTCTGCTCAACAACACCGAGCACCACGATCGCAAGCATGTCATGTACGCTGGCCGTGGCCCTAGTGCATCTGTCGCCGCTGGTAACAAGGGTCTGCACAACAAGGAGGAGCAAGAGTTCCTGGAGATGGCTTTCTCCGTTAAGCAGGACAAGCTGAAGGGCGAGTAAAAAATGACTAAGTTCAAACAGACATGACATAGCGGGTGAATGGGAAGAGCCTTGGGAAAGGCATGGGCAGGATCAGAATAGTGGGAGCGACGTCTTCCTTGTACAATTGTAAAATATACAGCTTTCTTATAGATTCTGAACCACAGGTCGGCCCTGTGAGGTGTCCTTGAGTGTCTGCAGAGAGCATGTAGGTTGTTGCAGACAGACTACACATGTGAAAAGCTCAGGCCTGTGCGTCTACTGGCGTGGTGGGCTGGATGCCGAGAGCACGAATGTCCGGGTTCCGCAGAACCCTACTAGAATACCTGCTTGGCTTATTGTGTCGTAATATCGAGCCAGTGGTCCCTGAGATTGAAGTTAGTAATTAAGGTCGTTATAGTAGCTATAGAGCTTGAGAATGAAGAACCTACCAATAAGACTTTCAAATGTAATAGAGTTATGTGGGTATCGATCGGAATCGTCAATCCTCATGGCCATTTGCTAGTGGGATGCCCGACGTTGAACTTTGTTGAATAGTTGGAAGTGTTAAGACAGTTGAATGCTGTGTAATCTTAACGAGCGAGTTGAGTAGTTTGATTTCGACCTTTAACTTAACGCTGTATACCAGTGCTCTGTATGCTGGCTGAGCCGTAGGTAAAGAGGCGAAAGTTGACGCAAGTAATGTCAGGTCGAGGAATATAACAAATCCATTGACCACTAGAAGGGGTGTAGCCAAGTCCTTTCTTGGGTTTCCGTGGATTGATGATGTTTTGAGCCTAAAGAAGCTGATGGCCGCGTGGATATATAAGCCCGAGATGATTGACTCTTCGATACAAAACAACGTCATCTCGACTTTCCTCC